TCTTTCCCTTTGTTAGAATTTTTGGGTTAGGACTTTTGTGACAGATCTGGCCGTCTGGAGCTATGTGGCTGAAAAAGCTGTGCTATAAAAAAGCAGAGGCTTCTTACTGAGCTAGGTGTGGGTGGTGTTTTCGTTTCAAATTGCTTCTATACTTAAGTCTTGGCTAAAAGAGAAGTCCAGTAAATATTTCAGTGTGTGTTTGTGGTAGGAGAATGTCGTCTTCTCTCATGAAAACCTAGAAATCAAAGGAGAGCTTATTATAAGGTATGGTAAATGACACTGCTGACACACTCACCAGCTAATTCAAAACACATGGTTTATAACTGCTTTCTAAACTACATGCTATTCTAAAATTTTACTTAGGCTCTGTAATTGTGAGGTGGCTCAAAGAGTGGCATGTGATTTAAACCTGTCGTTGGAAATGGTCTCTTTTCAGAGCTGAGCTTCTTGATGTTACTATGAGGAACAGAATAGAAAGGACTCTTTGTGGTCTACAGATCGTTAAAATATGTTAGACTAAAGTGACCTTCAGTGAAATTATTTTATAAGTTTGTAACAATTGGGGAATAGCATGAAATTATTTAAATACATTCTTGGTTATGTCTCCTCCAGCTGAGTTGTTGGAGCAGTGGTTAAAATGTCAGAGGTAGATTTTTAAACTCTTCTAGATACTTTTTGTTAAGTGCATATGTAAAGCTTCTTTTGAAATGAGTTGAATTACTTTTTTGTCTGTAGTAGTAATATTTTATACACTTGTGAAGTATTAGGCTTTGCTGGATTGTCTACGTTGGAGGAAAAAATAATGTATGCCAAGAGTCTCTGATTAGATTGGCTAGAACCAGAACTGGATGAAATCCCCAGCTTCAGAGCTTCAGCCTCTCCATTTCTCTGCTGAGGAAGGAGAAAAAGCATGGTTTGGTATTTGTAACTATGCAGTGCAGACAGAGTTAATAAATACATCAAGTAGTAAAATACATTTTGACAGGGGCTGTTGGGAAACTAGAATTCAGTGTTTTAGAAAAGATGAATGGTTACTAAGCTGATTACCTCTTAATTCAGTATATCAACAGGGAGAATACTTTCTCTGTGCTTGATGCTGACTTCATTTTCCGGCATGAAACTACTGCCAAGAAAGTTGTTTCAGCAGTGATATAGTAGGTAGTTGGTGGCTGAGATTGGTTGAGGGACAGCAGGCACAGAATGAGCCATCCAGTCTGTAGGTTTGAAAAGCATCTCAGAGTCTTACCTTCCTGCTGCAAGCTGGTTTCCTGAATGAAACCCATGGAAACCATGGCTTTAGTGTGAACGTTCTCTCCCATGGCTCATGAATGTTCAGTGCAGTTTTATTTCTTTCTTCTTCATCCCACTGCTTTTTTTTTTTTTTGTTGTTGTTTTTGTCCCTTGCAAAAAAAGAATGTAATATGTGCTGGAATAAGATTTTCTGAGTGCCGTGTGTTGTACTCTTCAATTTACAATTATATCTGCAGCAGCATTCAACAAATGTTATTCATTTCCTAAATATGTCCTGTAAGAGAGTCTGATAAAGTGTTATTGCTACTGTAGTTTGGATTCCGGACAGTAAAGTGGATGCCAGAGATTGTGTCATGGTCTCTCAGCAGCAGCACAGTATTTTTTTTTTCCTTCCCTAGTTCTCCAGCATGTTGGACACATCACAAATGGACTTTGTTGTAATGCTAAAAACATTACAGCTTGCTACTTTCTCATAAACACATTTTCACCTCCAGTTGAACTACTGAGTTCAGATGCTTCAATCACCATAGCAGGATTAAGTTTTGAGAGATCAGTCTTAATTCAGGTTCAGTGGTATGTGTATGAAAAGGACTTCCTGACCTTGGATCAGGACTGTGGAGTGCGTGGCCCAAGCACCTGTGCAGAGAGAACTGTGATTTACTGCCTTAGACAAAGCAAGCTGGGGAGAAAAGCTGAGAGACACAGAGCCCTGGGCTGGTCATGCAGCTGGGGAGGACAGGAGAAGCACAAAGAAGGGGGAATCAGTGACATGAGCATCATGGGCAGGACCTGGGGATGGGTGCAGAAGGTGTGATTGTTTAGTAGCAAAGGAGCTGTAAGGTATTTCGTTTACCTGTTTTCCAGCCTTTTCAGAATACATCACTCACTTGGTATGCTGGTCTCTTGCAGGATGGCTGAGCTGATAATATGATGCAACCATAAAAAGAAACACGCAAACCAACCCAAAACCCAAATAAGCAACTATGAGATGAGTCTAATACTGATGAGAAATGAGAAAGTATAAATGTTGTTAGCCATGCATGCAGTGATTAAATATCACAATTTTGAGGGGACCTTATGACGTGCTCTCCATAAATTTTTTTTGGGGAGAGAAGCCAGAAAGAACAAATGCCTGAGCTAAGAGGCAGTGGTAGCAAAAAGGAAATAGAAGTGAACTCATTTGAATACATGTAGGTTTTAGATTTGAAGCTTTCAAGCTGTGGCAACAGGAAGCTCTAGAAGAGGCTCTGGTGGCTCTCACTATTTGCATTGTGTCCCCATGCTGACAAAGAGCTTATCTACAAAGGGGCTGTGGCCGCCTGTGAAAGCACTGTATGGTTATTCAGAACAGATAGTTGATCTGGTTGTCCTTATCAGCTGAATGCAAAGCTCCTGAGCTGTCATTGAATAAAAAATCAAGTTTCCAAAAGGTGCACTGAGTCTGCAACGATCATACATTTTATATTGACCTGAGAGTTTTATTCTATTTTTCATATGTGGTTTCCTTACTGTAAATAATAAACAATGTCTACTTTTAAGTACATGTAAACCCTAAATATTTGACTAGGTGCATCTAACAAAGCTCTTGGTCTGTTGATGGGTGCTTATTTCATGTAAAAATGTCTCATGTTTGGCTCTCAGATTTTTTTCTTTGTGTAATGCAAGTGTGCCTTGTTATTTGGATTTTGCTTTTATGTCCTTTTCCAGCTACTACTTGTTTAATTTTTTCCGAGGGGTTCTAATGCTCAGTCAGTGTCCAGAGTCCTTTATGCCATGAACTGTAAAATGTAGCTGAAACTACTACTCCTCTGTCTCAAAATGTGCTACTAAAGAGAACTAAATACAAGTGACACATCTGCATTTCTCCAAAATACATGTTGCTGCATGGCAACAAAGCACCTCTGGATTCAGATTCAGTAGTTTCAGGGTGATAATGTACTGAGCTCCATGGAAAGACATTTTTGGTACAGGAAAGCTTTTGATTCTTATTATATTCTTTAATTTATATACATGACATCATGTTTACTGAGTTAAGGAACAAACTAGGAAACACTTCCACATATTTATGCAAAAGTCAAGTAATACCCAAATGCTTAAAATGCTCAATATTTTATGAAGTTCTGGGGTTTTTTTTGTACTTTTCAGGGTAGAAATTGCTGCTTATGGTACTGTTAGTGCTCAGGATCCTCCTGTTTGCTTTTTTCTTAGATGTCTTCAGACAGCACATATCCTATTTATGCATTGACATTTTGTTCAATGGAGAATGCTACCTAAGTTTCCCTGAAATTTTGAGAATTTGTTTTAAGCTTACTATCTTTAGAAAAACTTGGAGGTTACTCTTGCTTGTTCCTGGAGAAAGTCTAAATAAGCCGCTGAGAAAAGTATCTATTTTGCTTTTGTGGGTCCTTATCTTCTGAAAAGTGAATGCTTCACTGCTGACATTAGCCCTTGGTAGTTTTTTTGTTTGTTTTGTGTTTTGTGTTGTTTTCCTGTCTGGATTTGAAGGATGGATTGTAATTATTGGTGGTATTTGTCTTCTCTAATTCTCAGTTGACTCTTTCTTTGCAGCTTTGCTCTGTCAGATGAAGCATACAGATCTTTGAGGGACCAGGACAAAGACCAGTGTATCCTTATTACAGGAGAGAGTGGAGCTGGGAAAACAGGTAACAAGCAGTTTTGATCTTGCTCAGAAGCATTCAGTCTGGAGTCTGGAAGAGCTGAGAGTTATGGTATCTTTTTGTGTCTAGTGAGTGCAGAAAATCAATGCTGTCATGCATGTTGCTGTAGGTGTGAGTTTACATAAACTAGTGAGTTTTTTTTTCACATTATCACCATGATGCAATCATATCCTATGTTATTAAAATATACTCATCGGTATGCAACAGCATGCTGAAGTAATGCTCATTTGGGAGAGAATATTGCAAGGGCTGGAAAACTTTTAGGCTCTCTCTGTGGGAAACCTGAAGATGGAGACAATGGAATACTCTTGGTCTTCTAGACTGGGAGACAATCTTTTGATATTTTTGCACAGCTTTAAACAAATATATACATTTAAACCGGATTATGCCATTTATCCAAGGAAAATAAATAGTAGCTGATTGCTTTGGAAATTTGACGTGCTTTTGCATGTCTTTTGCATGCTGTGCTCAGCTGCATTTCTAAGATTGGCTTGTGGACCAGAACATTGTGTTTCTCAGATAAAGCTAAAATTGCCTTGAAAATGACTGCTGATTTTTCAACTGGAATGATAAGAAATCAAATGACAATGGCGTAACTGCAGCACATTTTAGGTAGAGCTTGAAAAAGAAAGAAGCCAGCTATTTTTTGAAATAAGAATTTAAAACTGAGGTGACTTGCAAAAGAGACAGCAGGTAGGAACACATATATCTGTTTCTCATGTAATTCAAGATATTTTTTCCTTTGAATACGAGAAAATGTGGATCTTTGTATGCTTATACTGAGCAAGGCTTAAAGTAATCCAAGCCTAGTGGCATCCAACTGAGAGATTTTGAAATTTTGTAATATAATCCTTTCTTTTTTTTTTTTTATTACAGTTCAATAACGTGAAAATGCATGTAAAAGTATATATTAAAATAAGCAAGTTCTTACTAATGTGATTGTTAGAGATTCTGTCTAGGAGTTCAGACTTTAGAAAGGAATTCTGTACTAGTATTGTTTAATGTCTTGATTTCCTCAGGGACTGTGAATTATCAAGCACCTCATACAACTGAGGTCTGCCTTTTATTGATTTACTCACTTGAAAGGTGTAGCAGTGGTTGAATTTTAGAATGTCTCTATTAGTACAGAATATTCTGGTAGATTTGTATAGAGATGTTGACCATTCTGTAATTTTCTAGCCATATGGGACATAATATGAATTATTCCTTCTTTATAAAGGTAAGTACAAAATCATATAAGGTTTGAAATTCAAATCAATAATTGACTCTGAATGTGTGCTGTTCTTTCTCTAACATTTGATAGAACTACTGTTACTGAAATGGGGTTATTAGCTGAGAAGTCAGGTTTCTGTTGGAAAAAAAAGAAAGGGGACAGGGAGGAAGTTCCTCGAGTTGAGGAAAAAAACTTGTTAGTACAGGTCCTGTGTAACTCTGATTTAGATTTTTGGTAGCCAGATTATTTAACATGTTTGGGAATAATTGAAATCAAACTATCATCAGCTGGATTTTTTTATTTACTTCAAATTTTATTCTTGTTTCACTGCATGTTTATATTGCTAATAAATAGTAACCTTATACAAGAAAACATGGTACATTGCCAAAATGACTGCTGTATTTAAATGTTCTTAGATATTAAGGTGCTGATTCTCTTTCTGGTGGCTTTATTGGACCAGACAGAGTTCCTAATAAAAGAAAGGGACCTTTATATTCTTTCAGTGATGTTCGGTGTCTGTGTTGAAGCCATTGTGTGTTGTCTTAATGCATAATATAATACCTTATTTTCTGCTTCAGTGCTGTCTTCTCTAAGTGCTTGAGCAGATCTACTTAAAGATGTTGACTGTTTCAGGAGACATTTCAAATCAATTTAGAAATTCCAAGCTCTGAGGGGAACAGATTCTTAAAAAAGTGATTAAAAGAGATGGGGGGAAGCCTTATGGACACACCTATAGTCCTTACTCCTTGCTTGTGGCAGGTTTGCTCAGCTTTCTTTACAATATGGGATAGTAATTTAATACTAGCAAATAAATTTTATTAAATAGGAAAGAATCAAAATCCAAGGGATAACTTATTGTTTGTCAGTTCTTTGCTGGGATGAAACCCTTAAATTTGTAACAGATTTACAAGTGATGGATTTTTTTATGACAGATGTGTTGAGTTGATAGAGATTCCAGCTGTCAGTAATTATATTGTATATTAGCTGATATTGCCTCAAATTTCAGTATCTTGTATCATGCTAAACATCACAGACTCTGTTTATAAACAGAATCCTTCCTCAGCTGCTCTTTGACCCGTGCAGCAAAAACATAAGGATTGGATGAATTATTTAGTATTTGTTTCTGTCTGTACATGGGTGATTGACACTCCCATGAACCCAGCTTTGAGACCACCAAAATCGTTCCAGATTTTGTTAAAAGTTTGTACCTTGAAATGAGTTTCATTGTTTAAATGAATGCTTCACTTTCTCTACTCATTATACTTTGAACAGACTCCATAATGCCATGTGGTGTTGAATTGCAGTTATTCATTTACTTGTAGCATACTTTGGAGTTGTAATTACATGTGTACAGTGTTTAGACTTGTGGTATTGTGCATCTGCTGATATCAGCTGATTGGATTTTGAGTCCTGAATGTGCTGTTTTTTCAGGCCAGATTAAAACATTTCCACCATGTCAGCTAGGAATAATGTTCCTTCCTTACTGAACACTAAATGAAGGCTAAACGGAATAGTGGCAGGTGATGTACCACTGGTGGCTTCTTTAACTTGGTGGGGTTCTAGGTATTTAAGTCAACAGGGGTGCTGATGTAATGGCATAGGTCTCGTAGCAGGACGAGCTCCTTCCTCACTTCCAGGTGGTAAAATAGTGTAGAAGAAAACTAAAGTGAAATGTGCTTACAGTTTGTGTCTGTGAAAATGACGAAAATGTGATGGAGATCAAGTCCGCCAACCATTTTCTGGCCTGTTTGCCAGTACTTATCAGTGGTTTATTTTGCTTTCCTCCTACAGAAGCGAGCAAACTTGTCATGTCATATGTAGCTGCTGTGTGTGGAAAAGGGGTAGAGGTTAATCAAGTAAAAGAACAACTTTTGCAGTCGAATCCAGTTCTTGAAGGTAAGAACCCTGTACAAGTGTATTACCTCTGTGTGCATCAGCTTTCCTGATGAGCTGGTTTGGAAAACCGTGTCTGTTGCTGTTTTATTGTTATTTAGTGCCTAAAACCATAGGAGATGCTTTCTGTGAAGACAACTACTAGTTTTTATTAAGTAACGGAGAGGTTTTCCTGAGAAGAAACTGTTTCCCTCATGAAGGGAGAGTGTAGGAGGTTAGGTTATGTTTCCCACTCCTCCTGCTGCTCTTTGAGGGCACACCCCTTCTTAACCCTGCCTTGATGATGCTCAGCTATATCAAAAGACTTAACTTCAGTTCAATCCCTCTGATTCATTTCCTTACAAATTATATTATTATAGTCTCTAGTAAACAAACGAGCTCTGTAAAGCATTAGTTTTCTTTCAGAAGAAAAAGGATCTTAGAAAAATCTAAGCCAATCCATATGCATGGCTGTTGTTCCCTGAGACTTATTGTTCCCTGGGTCTGGTGACTGTTAGCCTGTCTTCCTGACAACTGCCTTTCCTGCACTCCCATGAAAGACTTTTTATTTTTCAATTAGTCATTTTAATTCCAAGGCATTGGCTGCCAGAAACGGGATCTTCATTTTCCTGGAGATAGGATATGTGATCCCCAAAGCTTGCAGTTTTGTCCCGTTGTCTAATAATTGCCTTCAGAAGAGCCTTGGTTAGCATTGACTTATTTAGTCTATTGTCTTGATTCCTACCTCAGACTTTCCCACAGTTCTTTAAGTTATTGTGGGGCAAAGACAAATTCTCATGACAGCTGTACAATAATTCTACAATGTAGCCCAATGATATGCAGTGTTTATAAAACTGTTGTGTCAACTTTTTATTTGTTACCTAGTTATCTATATGTATATGTGATGATTTGGAGTCTATAGGGAGAAATCTCCCTACAAGTGACAATGGGGGAAAAAATAAAGGGAAGGGAATGCAAAAGTGGACTGAGAGCAGTGGTGAACTAGATGGGGAAAATGTGGTCATTGACTGTGCACAAAACAAAAATCGTAAGCAGAGACCTATAAAGAAAGGATGAAATGTTAAAATTTAAGAACAATAAAAATGCTAGACAAGCCTTTCTTTGATGATCAGATACGTTCCATTTAAAGCGAAGTGGGGGGATTGCAGTCTTCCATTGTTTTGGATTCACAGAGAAGAGCTGTTTTGCTTTTATCACTGTTCTGGAAGGCAGATTTCAGATTTAGACAGAAATAGTATGGGAAGTATGAAGGTTTTTCTTGCCAAAGTTAGATTGTTCCCCAGGGGCTGCCAAATGTATTGGATTTCTTGTGGGTTTGTGAATCTTTGTTTTAATGCAAGAGGGATAGAGTAAGCTTACAGAAGAATGCCTTATCATTGTAAGGCATTATTTGTTCTAGCTGGTGTGCTGATAGTTGCCCATTTAACTTTTTGGAAGGTAGGACACTGGATTATTCCATGAGGCTGCCAGGCGAGCCTAGCTGCTTATATACATTTTAGACAGAAATTAAGCATTTGTGATTAGATTTATTTTTCTTTGGTTATGTAGTTCTGTTTCAGTCGAGCTGCAGTGCAAGAAAATGACATAAATGTTACATAATTTATCTTCTGGGATTTATTTTTTTTTAACTACAGTTGCTACTGTAAATTAACTTTTAGAAACAATGAACTTAAGGGAAAACTGAGGAATGTGTCTCATGCTTTATAATGGAACGTTTGTGCTTGATACTGTGCAGTTATAAATGACTCCACTGTTCAGCACTGTGTTTCAGAAAATGCAGCTCAGATTTGGTTGTTGAAAAGATGATTTATCACAGGGCATAAAGATTTTAGGAACAATTCTTCCACTTATCCTTGGCCTTCAGGAGCAACAAACTTTTCCTTTTGGCTTCAGTTCTTTGATCAAGAATAAGTTTACTCATGCAAGTTTGTTGAAGCCTAAAAGCGTGTATTTATTTCTGTCCAAAAACCATTGACTTGACTTGATCTTTGAAAATACATATGCTGTATAACTAAATATTGAGACAAGTAAAGTCTCCTGTTGGAGCAGGAGTGCTATGTTAATAAAGTAGAGGATGCTCCAGTTTGTCTCAGCGTGCTGTGACCATGGGTGATGTTTAGAGCCTGAATTGTTCTCCAGCCTGAGTTCTTGTCCTGCCTGTCTTCTAAACTGATGGCTACCCATCTGAATGTAGCCCTGGGCAGTCCTTTCTTGGAGAGTTTTCATTGTCAGAAAGCTTGAGCTAAGAAAATTAAAGCCAAACTCTTCAAAATGCTAGTTTAGGTCAAGCTGAAGACAGTGTGTTAAACGTCATTGTAAATAGGGTTTATGTCAGCTGGTTAATATTCATCTTAAGCTACGATAGATGTGTTGGGATGGTGCAAATAAATCAGTTTCAAAGCACTGGTTAAACTGTCCCACACAAACAATTATTAAGTGTTAAGTAATTTCCTCCATTCTGGCCTTCATCTCTTACCATCTTCAGTTCTGGCAACTAAGATTCATTTCTTTCTCTAAGCTGAAGAGAAAGAAGTATTTCCTACATTTAAAGTTATTTGGGCAATCAAATTCAAACCCCAAGAATATATACTCAATCCAGGTGCAGTTTTGTCTTGAAACCATTTCCCCTTGTATGTTTTTCTTTCATTCCTTTAGACAAAGGAAGTGTTGAGATGGAATTTCTTTGGATTTCCATAGGCGTTTTCTCATTTGTGATCAGGTCTGCCACACTCTGTCCATCCCCAGTGACTGGTACCCAAGCAATGAACAGGGTATTGTTTCCCAAGAGTCTAAAATTCTTTTAAATATATAAAAAGTCGTATATTATTTTTTTTTGACTGATAGGTTTGTACTTTTTTTGACTGATATATTTGTTCTTATTTCCTACTCTCTTTATTCAGCTTTTGGAAATGCCAAAACTGTGAGGAATGACAACTCTTCCAGATTTGTAAGTATTTTATTAAAGAGTGAATATGAATTTCTTATAGGGGAACATGTTACATTGTTGGCTGTTTCTATTTTACCTTGAATCAGCCATCAAAGCACCTGTAAGAAAGGAATGAATAGTCTGAAGAGAGAACTTTCTTGTAGCTGTGTGAAGGCTTCTGCAAACACCATCAGTAGCAAAGAAGTTTTCATTTTGTACATTTGAGCATGTTTTACTTCCCCAGTATGCTGGTAGTGCATTTTTGGCAGTCACACATATTTTTAAAATATGTTTTACCTCCTTGTCAGAAAGCTGGTTGGTTTGTGATGCAACTTCATAGACTTGTATTGAAAATCAAAGGTAAGGATGAAAATGAGAATTAGGTTGTGACAATCTGATTGGATGAAAACATAATTATAGCGTAACTGGATTCCTTAATTTTTTGGCATTGGTGGCTTTAATGTCAGTGACCATGTGCCTAGCAACTGGATTGTTTAGCATGTTGATCTTTCTGCATTATCTTGTTTTCCATCCGCATATATACATTTATATTTTTAAAATTGCTACTTCAGGTTCTGATTTTTTAATTTCTCTCCATGATGCCACAAACTGCAGTTACAACTTTAGGTTTAATCTAAACATTTGTAATATTACTTTTTTTCTTATATTCCTTATAATCAACTGGTTGAATTTGGGCCAAAAAAAAAAAAAAAAAGAAAAAGTTGATGCTAGAGTTGGGAGATTAAGAGGTGTGAGTACACATGGTAGTTTCTCCTCAAATTAGAAGACTGAATGCAACTTTGCAATTTGCTCACTTGTGTGCAGAAGAGTAATGCCAAGAGATATGTAGATGACAGAGGAAGAATTAACACACTGGGAGAATGGTGTGTTGTGAATAAAAGCAAACTGGTAAAAGCCTGGGATACTGTGACACTGGAGAGCTGCTCTTTCCCACATGGGAGCCTTCTCTCCCCTCCCTCTGATTCTTGAGGGTTGATGTTATTGTTCCACATAGCTCTGAATGTTCCTTCTGCAGCTGTCATTATCCCTGCTTGTGAACAGAGCAAAGGATCTCCATCACAAGGTCAGGGCCAAAATTTGAGACAGTGTATAAAATTTCTGGATAGAAATGGTAGAAAGAAACAACTATCAGAGATGACATACTACAGAAGGGAGGAGGAGGCAGCGAAGAGGAGAGGAGGTGCCGTTTGCAAACACAAGTCTTTCCAGGACAAAGTGCAACCAACTACTATTTTGCCTTTCAAGTCCTTGCTTATAAACAGAAAGCTAAAAATACTTTTGGAAACATCCAGCTGGCCCAGTCCCTGGGAAATGAAAATTTAATTATCTGATTTAATTCTTTATCTCAGAAATTTGAATCAGCTCAGAATTCACTTCAAACAAGAAAGTACAAGTACCGTCCTGTCTAGCCTGCCTGAGCTGCAAGGAGAAGAATAGAGTTTAAATAGAGTCAAGATTGGCTTGTAGTAAAACACTCAGTAAATTATCTTTGAGGGAGTCAATGTAAAGTGCTTGGTCTTTATGTTCTGTAAATAAAATCAAAAGAGAAAGGGGAAAAAAAGAAAACCCTTCCTAACTGCAGTGAATAAAGAAGCATAAATACAAGGCTCCTCTTTTCAGTAGGTTGTTGTTTTCCTCTGTTAAGTAAGCACCAGAGGGTGGTGAGATCATTTCTGTGCATGGCTTGTGGAATTTGATTGAATTCCTACCAGCAGTTTTTATCTTTCTAAACTTCCTTGCCAACGTGAGCTGTGCTGCTTTTGCCTTCTCTACACAGCACGGCCTGTCCATATCCAACACACATGAGTAGTGGTCAGTGTTCTTGGCATTCTGCTGAGAGTTTGCATAACATCCATTTCCTTCATATAACCTTAGAAACTGAGCAAATTACTGGGCTGCATTACTAAACCTGATAAATGCTATTCTTACAGCCGTCTCTGGCTGTGAGAATGCAGTTGTCTAAGAATTATTCTAAGAAGCTTTGAATCATTTTCTGGTTTTCAAAATTTGATGGAGTGTACAAGAGACTGCCAGGTTGCTCTTAAGCCTGTAAAAATGACCGATGGACTTGTTAAGAAATGTCTTGGGCAGTTTTTCTTAAAGAGAACTTCAAGTTTTAAAACATGTTGCTTTCACAGGGAAAATACATGGATATTGAGTTCGATTTCAAGGGTGATCCACTTGGAGGAGTTATAAGCAACTGTGAGTATTACTTTTGGTATCAGCATATTAACAACTTAAAATGTTTTGTTGAAAAAGGAAGATGGTTAAATTATTGAAAAGATCAACTACCTTTGTCTAATCAGATCTCTCCTCATTATGTGATAAATTATGCTTTTGAGTTTTATTGGTGCCAAGTAGCATACCTCAGAGTGAGTGAAAACAAACTTGAAGAAGTCAGCATGAATAATGAATGTATTCTATTGTTTAAGAGGTACTGAGTAATGTGTGTGGGTTCGTATATTGTCTCTGAAGCTAGTAGCAGATGGATAAGGGGATCTGAGGCTCTTTTTGTACTTGAACCCCTGGGATCAGTTGTGTTGTTTGATTTATTTGGTCATATGTTTATGGTGGATGGTGTCAGAGAGGCGCTGCTTTTGAAGTTGTAAGAATGATAAAAAGTATGCTGGAGATCACCAGGAGGTGGATACTTTTATTGAAAATCAAAGCATTCTATACTAATTTTACACATCTCAGTGGAGGAAAAGGTTTATCAAAAGAGAGGATGAACAGCTACTGAGTTTAGGGTGGCAAAGATGCTGCTATGAAATCTATAGCAATTCAGAAATTTTAACCAGCTTTCTGTTGGGAAGGAAGAGGCTGGGAACTCAACGGCCACCCAGGATGCTTTGACTTGCTTTCCTTTCAAAAGCTTAAATGCAACTTTTAGAAGAAATTGCTCTTCTGTGCTATATAAAGCTATGTATGTTTGTTTTTCTTTTCTTTTTTTTTTTTTTAAAAAAAAAAAAAGGATGGAGCAGGGCAGTGAGTGACTATACTAGGTGTCACTGACCTAGCCTTGACCTCTCTTCCCACTCAGCCAAATTTGTTGCTGTTTTTAAAGACTGACTTTCGACTCCATTAACATTTCAGTGGTTGTGAAATAATGACAATCATCCAAGGTGAACTGTAATCTTCATATATAATATAAACATTTTAAAATATTGTGAAGAATGTTATGCATATGTATAAGGCTGGATTTCTCTTCTAGGGCAAACATTTTTTCTGGACCAGGTCACATTTTGGAACTGTGCCTGAAAGAGCATGTTTTTTTTGACAGGGCATATGTTGAAACTCAAAGTGGTCACTATTTAAGTGTTTATGGCTATCTGTTAACTTTGACATTTGCTAGTCAACAAAATTAGAGGCCAAATATACTTGGTAATAAAATTATTCATCAGTAATACATTATGAAGAAAAAGGTTCTAGCAGGCTAGCTGTGTTATTTCTTTCTTTTTCTTTCACATTCAAAATAGATACATAAAAATGAACCCTCCTTTGTAGAGTGGACATTCAACAGTTTGTCTTTGTACTCAGTACTGTGCTGAGTCATCTAATTAAAAGAACTGTATCATATCAAAAGGCGATCCAAATAGTTACTCTATAGTTTATCTGACCTATAAATCTCTGCATGTTGTAATTATAGCACTGCATGTAATTATAATGATGTGATGACATATGTAATCAAGGGCAGACTTATTTTTAGATCTTCCTAAAAGATGTCTATTTTAGGCATTCTCCTTCTCTTCTCACATTTAATACCTATCTAATAACAAGAAGATAAATTTAAATTTAAAAATAAAGACCTTATGTGTATGCCCTGTTGTGGAAAAGATGTGACTTGTAGAACTGTGAAACACCCCATGCTTGACGGGGTATGTCATAGGTAAATACTGAGTTTCTGTTAATATATCTCATCTATGATGTAATGTTAATGAAATTTGATAGTCCAACCATTTATCTTTAAAAGAGTTTGTGAATTCTGGACAGTTTTAAAGCGAGTTTGTTATCCTGCCTTAGAGCTTTTTCTGGTGTTGAGAAATCATCGTTCTGGAGATAGCGGGGGCTTAAATTCTTTTACACCACCTACAGTTTACTCTGGTGTTAGTCAAATTTAGGATTTGTGTTCTTAATTCATCAAGTAGGAAGTCAAGTAGAGCTGAAGTTTCCTATCCTTAAAAGGGAAAGTATTATTGGTTTATTCATAAATATTCTTTGCTTTCTGACCATATGTAGGGTTGGTGTTAATATGATGTGAGGATGATATAATAATATTTTGATTAAACCTTAATAGTTGTATCTGACAAGCTTTATTTCCAAGCATCAATGAAGGTGGTGGGCTTTTTGGATCACAGCCTGTGCCACCAAGCTGTGTTTCATACTGTGAGTGGCTGGAAGCAAGCGTGGTGAACGCCTAGTTTATTTTGGTGGCAAGAAGGGTGATGAAGATAAGCTACTAATTTTATCAGACTGGTGAAGATAAGCAGAGACTCATTAGGCTAAAAGGTCTTGTTTGAAATGGTCTGGTCTGTCACACTCTGAAATGCTAGGAAGATGTGTGAAAGGCTGGTCAATCCACCTGTGACCCTTCATGTAGTGGGTGATGCTATTGTGACCTTCCCTTGGGGCCATTCTCCTGATCCTCTTCAACGAGCTCTTCTTAATGACAGTGGTTAACTTGGAAGTAAACCTTTCATAGGGTAGAGCTACAGGGTAAAATTATCATAATGCATGTCTGTCCTGTCAAGTTTGCAAGGAATGGGAATAGGAACGTCCATTTGATCTGAAGTGTTTCATGTGCCATAAGTGGAAGGCTAAATTTTAGGTAAAATTAGAATGGGAAGTAGGTAGTGTGTATTGTACTTGTTTGATCCTACACTGGCAGCAACTGAAGCATAGGGGGGAGCAGGAGGGTGAAGAAGACAGAATGTACTGAGGTATGTAGTAAGCCTGAGCTGTTTGAGTCCTCCCTTTGTTGCTAGTTTTCTGTGAAGGTCCCAGCTTGTTTTCCTAATGGGTGGGAGATGCTGGAATCCAGGTGAGGTGCACAGTCCTGGTGCTAGCTAACAGTCAGGTCATCCATTCATGAGTTGACCTTTGTGTGGGCTTGGGAAGCCCAAGTTATTCTCGTGAGCATTCCTGAACACTAAATCCCTCCTGTGTTGTCACCTGTGACTGAGACATCACTGCTTTGTATCAAACACCAGTCCCTGCCTAGAGGGACTCTCCTGCTTTAAAATGCACTTACAAACTGGCATTTACATTTTCTGTCTTGGAATTGATTATGATGTGTATCTTTCTGTCCTCTTGCGGGGTGGTTGTGGTTGGGGCTGTTGCAGTGAACAGTCTTGTCAGCCCCTATGTCCTCAGAGGATTTTTTTCCGGAGCACTTGTGAGGAAAGGCAGCTGGATTGTTGGGTAAAGTTGGAATGTTGTGTAATTAACTTGCTTTCAACTGGGTGTAATATTGTGGAAATGAAACCATCAAGACTATTCTTAGTTTTCCATTTATTATAACTACTTTGTTAGTGGGAATGAGAGCAGGAGAAAGGAGAATAGTCACTTTTCCACCTGTAATTACAGAAGAATATGTATTTTATGTAAAAAAGGGTATGTTTGATTTTGAAGTAATAGGTGCTAATTGCAATAGCTTCTAAAGCTCTAAAATATGACTCTGTCAACAGATGCTGCATCTGTTCTGCATTCAAGGCAATGTTTGGGTGCACACTTGGTTTGTTAGCTTTGTGACTGGTTTTGTGTACACTCAATTTTGTAGTTGAAATGGTTTTGCATAGTACAGTCCAAAATGTTTCACTCTTGCAGTTCTTTAAAGCTTTTGAAAAGTAGGGATCTTATTTTATCTTTCCCAGAATGTTTCTAAGTCTTAAATTTTCGTGCTTCACCTGGAATTTCTTGTGGAAAGATGTCTAGCTTTTAGCATTAGGTGATCTTTCCCAATCCACCTAAGCCCTTCAGTGATTTAATCATTAACTACAAGACAACAGCAGTTGCAGGTGAAGCACAGTGCATGCAATGCAATGCCTGCTTTTGAAAAGCCATTTTTAACCAGCACGCTGTACTTAAAATCTAAATAACAAGTGATTAAGAAAAAGTTCTGTTGCTATCTTTCCCAACAACATCATCAAAGAAACCTGTGATGTTTATCTAAAGCAACAACTTTTTAAAGTCAGCAAAGCGATAGTGATAACTTTACAACTTGTTCTTTCTTTTTAATTTTAAAAGGCAAAAGTAATTACCCACTAATAACTTGGGCTGCTGATTTTAGTTAAGTGATTGATGTTAGTAAACTCATTTGCTTTACAGACGTATTACACAAATTTTACAATAGTCTGGGAAAGATACTCGTTCATTTTCTTTAATCTTATCTTGTTCCAACACCTCCCTTGGTGTCCTTGTTTGCACAATTGCCTAAGTTAAGAAGTGTTTAAAAAAATCAAACAACAAATGATACTAAACATTTTGATTAACTCATTTTAATAGTCATTTACCACTTGAATAATTGGGATTTTACACTCTTTAAACTGTGCAGCAGTCGTCGTATTTTCACTGCTCATACAGCCCAGATAGTAGTTTTTGTCTGATGCAGTTATGGATCATGTCATTCAAGAGCACATTATTATAAACTTGGTGGAAATAACAGGAAAAAGTTCCTGAGAAACCACTGCTACATTTTCTTTCTTATCAGTGATTTTTTTTTGGTGACAGCTGAGGAATCAAGGTAGGAAAACAGAAAACATAATTTAACATGCCGTGGCTGTAGAGATGAGCTTCCTTGACTAGAAAATGTTCTGTGACTTTGGCTGAACAGCTAAAAAAGTCCTTGGTCATGGCCAGCTGAAGAGAGACTATGACTAAAATAAGCTTTTCCTGAATTAATCAGTACATATCAAGGTAGTGTAATTTTTTTGCTTTTCGTGTTTACTTATTCCTTTCTTGAATGTTGATTCAGTTTCTAGTATATTTAGAGAAATACAAATACCCTAAATTTTTCTGCATCAGTTGAGTTCATGGGTCAAGTAACTGGAAAGAAATAATGTAAATTCATACATTAGAGTTTGCAGAAGTATTCAGCATCAATTTATTTTCTTTTTTTTTTTTTTCTTTCATGTTCCTTTCAATTGAATGGTTTAGCAGGATACTTACCCAGATCCCTTGCATTTAAACCAGTGTTATCTAGGAATAAAAACATCTTCAGACCCTGAGGAAGGTAGCTGGATTTGGAGTCATCTGAATTGATGGATATTCAAACAATATGATTTAAGAAGTGTTTCCACGGTGGACCTTTTCAAAGCAATTTAATTTTTGCTGTTATTTTGATGCACACAACTTGTTAGATGTTTAAATTCAAGCAGAAACGTTGTTAGATAATGCAGAAAGAATACTCAATCCATAAATAAACCATATGTAGTTCCTTATGCTCTCACTAGATAATTCTGTATAGTCCCTTTACATAGTTTATACAGACTATATAACAAAATGTAATATGTATACAGTTTGGGGTTTTTGGCTTGTGTGAATTTCCATATAGATCAGCACCATCTGTCCACACATGCCACTGTAAACAGAATTGCAAAGTGAATGCGTGCAGAAATCTGATGTGCATCTTTGTGTCTTCTCTTTTGACTGTTTGATCCACACAGTTTGTAGTCATGCGAGAGGTAACACAAAACTTACTGGTTGTGCAGTAGTTGGTTTAAGGAAAATACGTTTGGTTGATTTATTAAAATGTTAATTAGGGCAAACAAAGGGCAGAAGTTTTCTTAAGAGTAGGGCAGATGGTCTGGATGTTTTCTACCAGCCTGATTTCAGTCTGTATGTGAACAGAAAGAAAAGGAGAGAACCAGAGAATGAATACAGCTTTAGAAAGAATCAGTAGCAGCTGCTTTATGAAGGTAAATGTTGGATTTTCTGTCAGTAACTCCTTTCTGGAGCTTTTCTTCTCAATTTCCAAGGCTGACAGAACATGGAATATTGGGACTTTGGAAAGCTGACTGTTACTTAGTTAACCTCGTTGCTTCTAAAAATACACAAATAAGATAAACTGCAGTGAAAAATCCAAGTTATCCTTCTAACATAACTAATTTGGCCTACGTTCAAGAAACTGTTAAATCTGCTGAAGGCATGAATGTAGTTAAGAGAGGGCTTACACAGAATATTTTGCCAGGATATGTAACTGAGCTTTTATGACAGCATATGAGTAAGTTTATATGTAGAATATTTTTAAACCCAAATAAGCCAAACCACATTGCTTCAATATCCTTTGAAAATACAGCTGTTTCCTGAAGTGTGTGTAGCCACTGCGGGAGCTGAAGTTGTTTATTTCTTTGAGATTAAATTTGGCTCAGATCTGTTCCAACACTTCACTAGAGAACCTTCACAGCCAGCAAGGACTCCGGACTGCCTGGCGCTCACCTTGCCTTTCTCAGTCCAAGTATTAACACTGGGATGGTGGACCAGGCTCTTCCTTTCAGTTATGAATTAAAAACTAGAGAAGATCAGGTATCTGACAGTTAGGCTAACTAATGAGGATGACTGAGTTTGAACCACAGCTCAAGGAAGGGAGCCCCAACTTTGGGTGAAGTTAGAGGTAGAAAGGTTGCACACTAGATTGCTGGTAAGAGCTACATGTTCTGATCTATGCCTTTCTGATATAACATCAACCATCAAATGGTACTCATCTGTGTTTAAAACCAAAACAACAACAAAGAACCCACCAAGAAAAGAAGTTGCTAATAGAATGGAAAAAGCAAAAGTGGAAATCTGTAACCTGCCTCCTCCTAATGTAAGGATGAGCTGCTGGCAGTATGTGACAGCCACTCCTCTGGGTGTATCTTGGGTGTGTTTTGTCATCAGGATGTGCAAAATGTCCACGCGGTAGAGCAGGGCCACCTTTGGAAGGAAAGAGACTGTAGGGTTATTGAGTTATAAAACCACAAATGTCTGTTCAAACAAGGCCAAAGTTCTAATGTGGTCACACAACACATTAGATGATGAAGAGTTATTTGTTTTCATACAGTCAGGTGCTCTGGTCATTGGGAGCTCCATTCACTGTCACCTGCTGCACTGGTTACCGTTCTGCTGTCAGGCAACTGCATGTTTATGGAATAACATCGTTCAGCTGGTCTGTAAAATACTTGAAACTTGCCCTGCTGTAAGCCAACCAGAAGACTCATAATACTGTCTGAATTTTGTCATTGCTGTCACTGTCTAATTATTACAACAGCAATTAATTTTTGATTCTCTCTTGCTGTAGTTTATGTGGAGCAGAGCCTCCTAAGGCTTGCACAGTTTTGGGGATTGAAGTTTGGTCTTTGGTTCCTATTCCAGGAGAAGGGCTGCAAGCTTAGGTAGTTGCAGTGGGCACCACAGGCACAACGTGCTGCCTGTTGCTAGCAAAAATATGAGTGCACTTTATTGCATTCCTGTTCATAGAGCGAGCCCCAGGGCAGACACTTCTTCTTGGGCTAAGCCCTGGTGTACCAGAAAGCTGGTGGAGCCCAGGGGCTGCAGCCTGGCACAGAGGCACCTGCTCCCCAGCAGCTCCTGCCTGGTGGGGCTGGACAGGAGCTGCAGCACACAGGGGACTGCCCTGAGCACTGCCCAGAAAGGCTCCGTTTCAGCAGAAATGGAAATCTGAGGAAAAATGTAGTAGCATACATGTTGGATATTATTGTAGCCAGGCAGGGGAAGTATTTAGCAAGCACACGTGTCCTTAAATGAATTGTTCTTCCCTGTGTCTTCCCTTTGTAAAACCTCATCTCAACTTTGTGGCAGCTCTTCTGAAGAGTGACATCCAAGCTGTGGTAATTTCCCTTTGGGGCTTTCTTTTTTCATGGGCACAGCTTAGAGAGAACTTAGCCTCGGCCAGGGAGAGCTGGGGTGGGTACGTAGTGGTAAGTGCTTGGGGGAGCTCCTTTGCTGTGCGTTTGGGATGAGGCACTGAATGTGTCTATCTTCACGTTGCTGAAAATAGGTAGCTTAAGAGGAGCTGCAGACTGGGAACTGTGGGTTTGTTATCTGGAAAAATGATGTGGAGACAGTGAGAAAAGAAGGAAAGACATTTTTTTGTACAAGTGACACTGATCCTTATCCAGAGGTTCTCTCTCGCACCCCTCTGCCCGTGCACTGCACTGTGGGTTTGTTATCTGGAAAAATGATGTGGAGCCAGTGAGAAAAGAAGGAAAGACTTTTTTTGTACAACAGCAAGTGACACTGATCCTTGTCCAGAGGTTCTCTCTCGCACCCCTCTGCCCGTGCACTGCAGACCCCAGCCTTTCAGTGCAGCACACGCTGAACAACCTGCCTGTTGTCACCTCTGTGGTAAATACGATGTAGAGTCTGCAGTGTTTGCAATGTCTTACAAGTCAGGCTGTGTCTGCTGTCTGCCTGGATTTCTACCCTTAGTGGTAAGGGTTAGTAATGTGCCTGTCACTAACAGCAGTGGACCAAGCAATCTTCTTGGCAAAGCACTCAATCAGTGCAGTGATGATTTTCAAAATGCTCTTTCTCCATCTCACTTTAGAGTATCTTATGATGGAGCTTCTGTCAATCCCATTGGGAATTATTTTATAGTCTGATGCACCTGAGGATCACAAAGTGCTACATGATTATTCAGTTTTAATTCTTTCTTTCTTTGGCTTCCCCCTTTCATTTACCCATCTTTCATGTGCTTAGCCTGTTAACACTTCAGTTCTTTTCAAACCACCCACACAATCATTCTCACCAAATCTTAATTTTGTGGTGGTACTGGAAATGGGTTGACATCTTTCGAGCATGTTGCCTCCCTGACCTGAGGTTTCTTTGCAGCTCATAGACTGGAACATTTAGAAGTGTACTGGGCTTACAGCCTCCTCTAATAACTTACTTGAGAAATGTGTATTGACGTGATACATTGTGATAAGGTTTGTGCCTACCATTTATCATCTCCTAATTTGCTGACGATGATACAAAGCAATGAAGTAGAAAATGAGGGGGGGATTATATTCATATTACAATGTTTTGCTCCAACAATCTTTCCCTGAGCTGTGAGATTTTCTTTGGTTTTTTTTAGATCTGCTAGAGAAGTCTCGTGTTGTTAAGCAACCAAGAGGCGAAAGAAACTTTCACATTTTCTATCAGATACTGTCTGGTGCATCAGAAGACTTCCTCTGTAAGTGTTGCCCTTGTGCCATTTCCAGATATGAGTCTTGTTTATGTTTAACATTCTGTTCCATGTCTCTCTTCTTTTGTGGGAAATGTGATCTTGATTGCATTTTCAAATTATTGGTGGTAGTGGCAATAGTAATACCTGAAGTAAAGACATCCTTTGGTATTATCCAGCTGTCTGAGTCTGAACTGGCTTTGCAATGTATTATAAACAAAGAAGAAAGCCTGTTCTTGTTCAGAAGGCTTCTAATTTTACTGTGAGGGTGACAGAGCACTGGAACAGGCTGCCCAGAGAGGTTGTGGAGTCTCCTTCACTGGAGTCATTCAAAACCCGCCTGGACACCTTCCTGTGTGATGTACTCTAGGTGATCCTGCTCTGGCAGGGGGGTTGGACTGGATGATCTTTCGAGGTCCCGTCCAACCCCTATGATTCTATGATTCTATGATAATTAAAAGATCCTTGAAGAAACTCAACCCTACTTATAACAACAGTTCTTGACTGGTTCTGGGATAAGAGAGCTGCTAACAATAATGCTGTTAATAATCATACTTTGATTTGTTAGGCAAACTCAAACTGGAGCGGGACTTCAGCAGATACAACTATCTGGGCCTTGATTCGGCCAAAGTGAATGGAGTGGATGATGCTGCAGACTTCAGGACAGTTAGGGTAAGAAGGAAGAGGGGTTGGGGGTAAACCCCAAAGGGCTCAACACTGATGCAGGGTTCTTATGCCCTTGGCCTGCCTGTTTGCACTGGGGTGGGAGGGATGTCTTTTCTGAGTGCTAGCACTCCTCATGCAAGGGTATATATAGCATGTTTGAACAGGGAAGCTTAGCTCCAACTAGAAAATACAAAGAACCAAGTTTCTGGAGTGGATGGCAGTGACTGAGCTTCATGAATGGTGTGACACTGGCCAAGCCAAAAGAAGAACAGAGTTGGGATGGTTCTCAAGGTGATTTACCGGGATACTTTTGCTTTGATTGTACTCATCAACGAGAAGAGCACGGGACCGTGTTAGCCACTGTATGCAAATTTAGAGTCTAAAAGTTACTGGCTTTTGGAGAAGCAGAGTGGACTCAGAAGACAGCAGTACCTGTTCATCTGACTGTGAAAAACTGGGTTGGGTTTTTAGTGAAATTAAATTGCTAAAAAATATTACTGCATTTTAGAAACCCATAAACTGAATGAATTCCAGAAGTGGGCTGGACTGACATGCCAGCTTGATTGCCAGATCAAGCTTCTTTAACCTGTCTTTTATATTAAAAAACTAACTTAGATAAGTGTAGTCATTATGTCATGTTCTTTTTGTAGCAAAAGCGTTCATAAAAAATCTCTAATTTATGCTGATAAATGGTGAATTTGGCAAGTATGATCTGTTTAAATGTAGTTTCTTCTTTGATCTCATAATTTTGTATGTCCCCTTTCCAGAATGCAATGCAGATTGTTGGTTTTATGGATCATGAAACGCAGTCTGTTTTTGAAGTGGTGGCAGCCGTTCTGAAATTGGGAAATATTGAATTTAAGCCTGAATCTCGTGTGAATGGCCTAGATGAAAGTAAAATCAAAGACAAAAATGGTAAGATGAGATTAGCAGTGGGAGGAAAAACCACTAATTTGTGTGAAGTCATGTTTAGTTTTCTAGTTTCTCTAGACATAAAATATCCTTACAGATGAATTAGATTGTTTCCAAAACTCATCCGCAGGCAAATATTGGTTTGAAATTCCAAAAGTTATTATTTCATTTTTTTTCTGCTTCATTAAAACTTTCTTCTGAAATTGTAAATGGTTCTGTGCCTTTCTGTAACTGCTTGGTTATTCTGCAGTGTTCTTTTGTAGCAGGGCATCTCTGCCTTTAATGTTGGATTCATTTGGTCATGTTTTTGTAGTTGATTTTGAAATTTATTTTCATTTGAAAGGTTTTCTTATCATGAAAAGTAGTTAATGATAAATGGAAGAAAAGTTTCTTCACAGAAGTAAACAGATAGAAAGTGCTTTCAAAACCAATAAGACTGTTTTCTTGTGCTGTGCATATTTCTTAAAACTCATTGGCAGGGTGTAGAGGAGGAAGTGTGGACAGGGGACACTCATGTTGAAGAAAACCTGTTTTGGGAAAATACAAAACTACTTAAAAGCTAATGGTTTTAGGGAAGAAAAAGCAATGATATGAAAGGATTAATTATACTTACACTCTCCTTTTTCATGCTAGAACTCAAGGAAATCTGTGAGCTGACAGGTATAGACCAGTCTGTATTGGAAAGAGCTTTCAGCTTCCGGACAGTTGAAGCCAAGCAAGAGAAAGTTTCAACAACACTAAATGTGGCTCAGGTAAAAAGAGGGTCTTGATTTCAAAGGAAAGAATATTTTTAAATGACAATTTATTCCATGTGACTCAATTATAACAGCCCAGTAAAAATACATCTAATAGGCTGTACTGAATAAAACGTTTTGCTAGCATAAATATGTTTTTTCTTCATCAGTTTCTAAGTGTTCAAATATACGGAATGTTTTGTTTTTAGGTGTGAATTGCCTCAAAAAGATGAGTGATAGGAAAATGTTGCAGAGAATGAAAAAATAAAACAGTTCTGCACAAAAAGCATGTTGAAAGTATTGTGGCAGACTGTTTTCATTTAGAGCAAATGGGGTGATTTTGTGTGAGTTTTATGCCCTGGGCTGCTGAAAAACTTTTGCTGCCTGTGTGAACATATCTCTCTGTAATGCTGCAGAGCCAGTGAGATTGGCACCTGTCTCTCATCAGCTCAGGCTAGCAGGAATCTCATTTCCCTAAGCACAGATGCTCAAGTCCCTTTGCTTAGGATTAGGATGGGGGATGTGAGTCTTCAGAGGATATCTGGATGAGCAGGAAGGGAAGCAAAGGCACTGCTGGCTGAACAGTTCTCACTCTGTCCATAGCACCTTTAAGGTACATCAGTCACATAAAAATGCTGGGACTAACCCAGAATTTATAACAGTTTTTTTTTTTTCCTTCTCTTTAGGCTTATTATGCCCGTGATGCTCTGGCTAAGAATTTATACAGTCGACTGTTCTCTTGGCTTGTTACCAGAATCAATGAGAGCATTAAGGTATTGTTGTTCTGTGCTTGTAAAAAAAATCAATAGAAATAATTTAAATTCAAGTAGACAGTAAAACTGTATTTGCCCATGTCATTTTTCCTGGTTGTGCACTCTTACACATGGTACAGGTGAATAACTCTATCACAGCTCAAAAAATTGCTGCCTGCTCTGTTTTTAACAAAAATATTCACATCAAGTGTAGTGTATTTTTGGGAAAACATGCTTAACATTTTATTTTACAGCATTTGACAACCTACTTAGGAGATACATTAGTTTTCTTGACTCCCAATTATGAAATGTACAGATGACTGACTCAATGTTAATTTTTAATTTTTTTTTAAGGCACAGACAAAAGTGAGAAAGAAGGTAATGGGGGTGCTGGACATCTATGGCTTTGAAATATTTGAGGTAAGACCTTTATAATGGTAAACATTTAACATGAGATCTGTTATTAAAGCTTAATAGAGTAGTTCCCTAATTTGTGATCAGAATATGTGTAATTTGAAGCAAGTTGTGTCATTGCTGATAAGAGCAGCTAGAAAAGTAAGCCAAAGAGAGATGTCTTAGTATGTCTGGCAATTGACACAAAACATCTATGAAAGCCAAACTTGTGTTTTTACAACATAGGTAAATAAATATTTATGATGGGTAAACTAAATATATTTTGTTGTCACATACATTCTGAGCGTAAGTGAAACTCTGGCAGTGTTGTTTCTGTCCTGAAGCATTTTGTGGATGTCTTTGAATGAGCTTTGTGGCCTTTAAAAAACAGAACAAAACCTATACATTTTTTTCCTGTCAAAATTCAACAAGGAATTATTTTGCATTTCATCTTGATGCACTTAGATAAATAGTCTGTACCAATTCCTGGCTGGCTATCTGTGGCTCATTGCTGTTTATAACAGTATTTTTAGACTGGTGGTATTTTGAAACAAAAACAATCAACAAAGAAGTTTTAATTGGGTTAGAGAACAACAGGGTGAGGGAGTTTTCATAGATCTTGTTCTGCCAGTTTATTTTAAGAGATTTATAGATCTTGGTTGGAATCTGTATAGTGTTTAAACCAGAAACTCAACTGGGGATAAAAAAAAAATCTTTAGAAAATACGCAATCCTTACCCACTTCTCTAAATACTTCTTGAAAATCCAAGGAGTGTGTTTAAATTGTGTAGAAGATGGGAATAATCCAGAAAAGAGTAATTATATGTGGGAGGGTGGTGTAAGTTTTATTTCAGAAGTACAACATCGAAGCATGTGCAAATCAAAATAGCTCTCTGAAGAGGAAAAACAAAGCTGATACTACTAAGATAAGTTTACTAAGATAGGTTGTATTGTTGGCATTAAACATAAGAGCATATTTATGAAAATATATTGAAAGCAGTCAGGTGGCTGAATGGAGATCTCTGTGCCAGATGTCTTTGGAGCTGGCCCTTGGCATACCTTTAGAAAGCTGGACACTGGAATGGTGCTGCTGGCATCGCTGGGCAAGACTCTTGTCTTCACTAGCTCTTTCTGGCACACAAGCCAACCGAGTGATTGTGTTTGTTGGGATGATGTTCCAGAGACAAGGTTGTTTCTGACATGTAATCTGCTTATTTTTGTAGAGTTCAGCATCTTAGAAAGTCTTAATTAAGTAGTTGAGTTCAGAAGGTGCAGTTTTGCAGAAGAAAAATGAAAAAAACAGGGCTCTTGTCACTTAGTTTTTGTATTTAATTATAATGTAGCTTTCCCCATTCATACAAACTCAAAAGCTTTACAATAATATTGTTCACTCCTTTAAATGCTGAGTATTGGTTCTACTGGAAGTGATAGGAAAGGTTTGCCTTGTGACTTGAGGATCAAATTAATCAGTACATTCGTACACGACAGGAGTCTTCCTCCCATCAGTTCAGATCTGTGGTGGGAGCACTAACCAAGCAGCTTGCTTCAGCATCATGGAAATAGTGGAATTATTTCTGAACACTTGAAATAGGAGTCAGGTAGTATGCCAGAAACATACAAGGCTTGTATGATATCATAATTTAAAACGTGATTGGTTTAGGCTCATAGAGGTAACTGGTAGAGTTACTGGTATGGAGACTGTGGGGCAGTATTGTGATTCAAAGGGTGAATGATAGAAAACCAGTCCATTAGAAAATCCTGAATCAGTTGTATTTCCAGTACCACTCAGCCATCCCTGTGTTTCTGGACAGGTTCATTTTCATAATCAGAAAGTGCTGACTTATTCTCAATTGAATCAAAAGCAGAGATATTCCCTCAAGTCTTTCTAGTCTCAAGGCAGCTCTCATTGGAACAAAAGATGATGTTACATCATAATCCTTAAATTGAGTAAAATAATTCTGCAATGAAAACTGTGTAGGCAAAGTGTGACTGGTCTTGTGGCTGCTTGAGTGAAGTAAGGTCATGTAGCAAGGTCAATTAAGAGGATGCCTGCCAAATATTTTTATGTCAAGTTTTGTAACAAATTATTGAATCTCACAAAAAATTATTAAAGATCTTGAGAAAATGCGTACAAAAAATCCCCAATTAATCAGAATTGAAGTAGCCACTTCACAGAAAATGTTTAAAGTTAATTATATTAAAACGATCAATAAACAAATTACATTTTCACACTGTACAATACTGTAACTCAAGGAAAATTCAATAATGTCTTAAGATTTATAGCATAAAAAGAATAATGGAATCTGAAGTGTTTTACTGTGTGGTACATTTGTAAACATGATGGCTAAACATTCAAAATATTAGTTGAAATGTAGCTAATGGCAGCAACTAGATTCACCTAATTATACATGAAACCTTTGACTAAAAATGTGCAGTCCCTTTTGAACCTAATTCTTAAGTCAGAGTTTGATTTTCATGTCTGTTCTTGAAGGCTGGATCTAACATCTTGCCAAAGAATATTCTTTGGCAAAAATATATTTGAGAGACTTCTCAGATTTTAAACCTGCAAGCTATTTTTTATGCTGAAGGTAAAAAAACCTACTTGAATCTGCTAATAGCAGCCCTTTGCTATTATACACAAATTGAAGCTTATATAAATGAGATTTTTTTTTTCATCTATTTTTGAAGGATTACTTTATTTACTGTTCACTGTAATTTCTACAATTTTCTGTCATTTAAGATGAAATTAATTACCAAAGACAAGATGTGGGAGCATTGATAATGCTGGCATATACTTTTTGGGGTTTGGTTTCAGCTAGTATTTTTTATCAAGCACAAACCCAAAAGCTATCCAAGAAAGCAGATTTAAGGACTTGGCTGTCCAAAAGTTCAGATTAGGGAATTTAAATCTATTGATAATCCTCAGCCTCTGTGGGTTTGGCAGATGTCAACAGCAAGCTTGACTAAACAATCCAGAAAATAGGTGCTGTAAAGCTGTGTTTATTTTTGACTCCTGCCATGCCCTTTGTGGTAAGCTCTATGCTGGGACTCAATGTTTTGAAAGTGAAATGCTGAAATTTCATGTGTCTTTCTGTGTGTTATCTTTGGGCAAGGATTTAGGGACTAGGATTAGTATGAAAATGCAGGCTGCAGGACTGGGTTGGTTGTGTAATGCTGCTGGAGCTTGAGCAATGGATTGAAGCCTGACACCATTTGCTCCAAGTAATGTTTCTCCACGTTTTTGAGCAGCTACATGTGTAGTCAGCCTGCAGTCAAGACTGTGATTTGAGATGGGGCAGGGATGGAGGTTGGTGGCACTGGGAATTTCAGAACCAGCTCAGCTGCACAATTCCTGGGCTAGGTTTAGTGCTGGTCCCATTTCATTCCCTGCTTGATTCTGTACTTTTGGGCAGAAGCATTTCTGGAAAATGGCAGGGTAGGGTTGGGGACGGGGTGGGGTTTAATGAATGTCTGTAGAAGGCAGATGACTGAGGGCAGGTTTTAAGAGAGATGAGCAAAAGACTCATGCTGTTCAGTTTGGATGTTTCCTTCCTGTTGTGGACATTCTTTGTGTAGATGAGGGCTGGGATACCTAACAAAGAGTGCTGTGGAGCAAGGGTGAATGTTTCATGCTGCCTAGCCTTCAGAGATAAAAAGTGTCTCTGTGCTAGTTGGCTTAAAGGCTTTATTCTGAATTTTCATTATGTAGCTGGTCCATATGATGAAGCTAATGATTTGGAGTGCAGTTTTATGAAAGTTAAATCTGCCAAACAAGGCTTATTCTTCAAATTAGCCAGGCCCTGAAAAGACAGTTTGCAAGCATGAATGCTTCCTGCTCCATCCCTTGGTGGAGCAGTTTGTTCCATGTATTTTGATCTCCTGATGAGAAGCAGGGATGTGCTGGGGATAGAGCTGCAAAAGTCAAGGCTGCAGAAAGAGAGGGGCTATTTCCATTTGGCCCTCAGACATCTGCTGAGGGTTGACCTGGGAATGCCTTGTCTTTAGGGACAACATCTGACCAACTCCTTTTGCTCCAGCTACAAAAGAACATGCAAAGGTGTGGCAGCATCCATCACATTCTACATAAAACCCAGCAGTAAATAAAAATACCACCAACAAAAGAGCTAAACAGCCCAGCCAGCAGTAAAACCAGGTCCATTTCTCACAGTCTCTGATGGAGCTGCATAGTGCTTCTGTTTATTTACAGCAATTACATTATAATTTAGATATAACTTAGGCTTATCTTGTAAAATACAGGTTTATGAGGGAAAGCCCATTGGCTGGCTGTTTTCAGTGGAGGAACTGTTTGAAATGCTGGAGCAAATATACACAAGTGCTCCACTTCAGGTTGCAAGAATAACGTTTTGCACTGCAAAAGCTGTTCTGGTTTAGTTCAGAAGTGGTCATGACTATATGGTAGGTTCTTGCCTATTTGCAATTCCTGTTGTTCCAGGACTGTAATTTATCAGGTTGAGTTTGTTGAAGTGATTGCAGCTGGGTTTCCCTTGGGTCACAGAGGCATTGTGTGCACTGCATTCACTCTACTTTCTTGGCTGTTAACTCCAGATTTAGTTTAGGCCTGTATCTCTGGATGTCACAGCTGAGAGCAAGAAAGATTTCAGAGAGCCTGGTTCTCTACCAGTGCCATCAGTTAGGAATGAAGTTGGGTGTGCTATGCAAATAAGGAAAATGCAAAATCCCTGAAACTTTGACATATGTCCTTTTTGCTTCCATTAGATCCACAGAAACATGGTTAGATTTACATACATGTGGAATATTTATAGTTAAGTTATACTGCTTTGGTTCTTTGCCTATAGAGATATTTACAAAAAAGCACAGAGCTTATTCTAGTTTACAAGAGATATTTTTCAGTTAAGTTTGGTTACTTGAATGTTTGTATATATAAACAGAAAAGTAAGGGATAAATACTGATAAAGTTTCTTCACTAACTGCAAAAAAAAATATAACTAGGTCACATAGATAATTGCTTTCTAAGATAAAAATTGTCTTTTTTCAGTTTCTTTAAATGTTCTTTCCCATTTTGCCCATTTTCATTTTCTAGCATTTCTATTTCTTAGTTTCATCTCATAAACTCATATGCTTCTGTGGTCATACATAAAAAATCCCTATCCCCAGAGCCCCTAGTAGGGTATAAATTAAATTAGCTGGTTCGTTCCACCATTCATTCTGTCATTCATCTCAGTGAAGTGAGGACATTGGTCTTCTTGTTTTTCCCATCTGGCTTTTTCTCTAGGAGCCTGAGTAACAGTGTAGGTGCCTGCTGGAACTACCTGGGGTCACTTGCCTGTGTTAGGGGGAGGTCAGAGACGTCTGATGCCTGGAGTTGCATTGATGCTGAAAAAAGTTCCTTTCTGGGGCTAGATGTGTTAAAGTATCAATCCCTGCATGCCTTTCCTCCAGCTCATATTGATCAAAAAGGTTTTTTTAATGGCATTAGTTCTGTTGATTTTGACAGAGTCTCATGACTTGAAACATTTAGGCTTAATTTTAAATTATTTTTCCTTTAAATAACTCATGTATTTTTTAGTTGTATGTGTTTATATAAGGTGTTTGAAAAGGTGCTGCTGAACACCTTTTTGTGAGCCTAATTTTTTTCCAAAAATATTTTTATTTTGTGTGTAAACTATTGGCATATTACTGGTGTAACAATGTGTAGGGTCAGGAACATACATAGGTGTTTTTTCAGATGATTCCATGATGTGCATAACTGGAATCTACCAAAGAAAATAGGTGAAATATTCAGGAACAAAAAAACATTTTCCTTAGACTCTCAAGCACCTGGATATACTTCATGTAATAGCAATGATTCAGAACTAGACCTTTTTATCTTTTCATGGTTGACTCTAACAACCTGAGCGAGTACAACATCATGATCAGCTTGTCTACATAAGCACTATATTTTTGCATGGAGCAGAATTTTTTAGAGTTTAAAAACTTGCTACCATGAAATGACACCCTGAAGCTTGGTGGTTGATAAAGAATAAAGCTGTATGAGCAAGAGACCATTATTTGTGAAGTGAAAAATATGGTGAAGTAGGTTTTGAATTTTTTGGTCAGTGAATCTTTCTACTTGTCTAAATTTATTGTTGCACCTGATAAAAAATTGAAGGGAAAAGATGAGGGTGGTTGGTTGATCTTTATCTATAAATCTGACGTGACTTTAAGCCTACCTCAGGTGACATTCTGTTTCCCAGCGCCTTTAATTTAATTTGAGAGACTGAGTAGTTTTTTCTTCCCCAAAGGTTATATTTTGTATTCCACAGTGATTTCAAAGGTGTAGTTTGAAATGCTGCTATAAAAATGCAGGGTTTGAAGTGATGCTCTCAACATTGAAGTAGCAGAATTACAGCCTGGAAGAGAAGCTGACACTTTGAGAAGTGCTGGTCTTAAAGACTTTGTTTCCTAACATTTCCTAAGAATATTTGAAATTCTTCCTGAGATTTCAGGTCTGACCATGCTGCTTAAGTGCTGGTCAGAACCCTTTCTGTCACTTAATTGCAATGGTCAATGTTAGGAACAAGTGCAGTGTCTGACAGCTGGGTCCTTCCGGAGTGGGTTTACTGGTGTGCTTTCACTGATACTGGTTAGTCTCTATTGCCTTCTAAAAAAGTCAGAAGTACCTTTAGATCCCTTCTAGTTCTGTCATATGACTTTCTAGGAGCCTTCATTAAAATGCTGGGGGACAATCCATTTGTAAGCATTCATCTATGCTTTGTGAAGCCCTCACATAATGAAAATTATAGGTATAAAATAAGGGAGAATAAATTCCCAATTTCTGTTGCTTTACTTGGATTTACCCAGAGATAAATACTCTAACCATTTTTTAATGCAGTGTTTCTTAAAACCTGTAAAAGTAAATGTCTCTTTCTGAAGTGTATTTAATTTACCAAATGGCTTCTGGTCTGTTCAGCATTAAGTGTTTTGAGAATTTCAATAATTCCAAACCTTTTTCCTCATTTTCTTTGCTGTAGTTAACTGTTAGCCTTTTGCTCTGCATCATACATAAAGAACAAAATCACTACAGCTCTTCAATGACTTTTTTCCTGGAATAGCAATTTTCAGTGGCTTGGCAATGTCACATAGAATTTTGTAGCCTAAAGTGAGCGATTTGTGAAGAGCTCTGTGGATTTTGGTTTGCCTTCCTTTGGTAAACAGTAAATATCACAGATACATAGCAAACAAGGAAAGCATCTAGCAATCACTTTAATATATTGTTAATGACCTTTTAGTTAGGTGGTTTAGCTGGATTTGCAGTTCAGTTTCCATCCTCTTACGAAGACAAAGACTGTGTATGATATGTGAGAAATAAGTCCTCCAAGTCTTTGCAACTGGAATGACGTGGAGTTAAAAATCTTTCTCTATTGGGTGGCATGTGCCTGGCAGGAGGATGCAGGGTGTGTTTTACCCTTCCTGTTTGTCCAGGTGATGTGTCATTTGCGTCCTTTTACTTCAAACTCAATATATCTAAAGTGATGGCCTTCTCTGAATGTGTGGAATAAACATTTACTTTCTTCCACCAGCAGTCTCCCTTCCCTTCCCCATTTTCCTCTCTTTGTGGAGATTGTTCTACCAAAGGTTTCCTATATGGTTTTTTTGAGACAAAAGATACATGATGTTTATGAGACGTGACAATGCAAGAATGCTGTTACACTCTGATGTGCCACAATCCCTTGGTTTATTGGATAATCTTTGGATAATACCTAAAGATACACTCACCTCCAAAGAAGTAACGCATAACATTTATTTAGTACTTATCATTTTAACTGACATACAAATATGAGTCTGATAAAAAGGTTGATAAATAAATGCCAGTAGATATATTCTGTGTTGTTACGGAAGTAGTACAAGTACTGACTGAAGTTTATGCAATTTCTTTTTGCAACAGAATGCAGTAAGTATGCCTTTGTTTGCAGTGCTGGTTTTGATGCATGCCAAATTTTAACTTTCTCATCTAGAGCTATGCAAGTTTTGCAATCGCTGATTGATAATTGCAGTTGGTGTGAGGGGCAGAGTTTGATGTGGCTGAGAAAGTTTGGTGATCAGCTGTGATTTTGCTTTACCTAAAGCTAAAATGATGAAAGCAATCTGTGCTACATCAATATTTTCTAATCTGCTTGTGTGTTCTTAATCTCATTTAGCAACCAGATCCTTAATTTAAACATTTAAATGATTGCAGTTGCCCTTTGTCACAAAAATTCTATTGCTTTAACTTGAACTTCATAAGTATTGTGTAGCAGACTTAGCTGGTAGTTTAAATAGGCATAGTGGTTTATTCTGCAAATTTTCAGGCTTCCTAAATAACTAGCATGTTTGATGACTAGTAATTAAGAAAGGAAAACAAAAAGGCTGGGGAGGAGGGGACCCCAAAGTCCCAAAGTGAAGAAGAGAAGACCAGCAGCAGATATCCAAAATCACTCTTGATTTGCAGTTATTTCTGCAGATACACAATGGAATTCTTACAATATTAATGACTCTTTCAAGCACTGGAATAAAAAAGCAATGAAGCTGCTCTTCCCTTTTTCTTTGAAAGGGGCATTTTTAACCAATCCTCAGAATGGGCACCTGGCCTCCAAGCTTCATTCATTTAAGGCAATGGAGATGAAGTGCTGAACCACAGCTTTTGTGCTGCACTCTTGGCCCTGGTGATGTTAGCAGTAAAAACTTCAATTGACTTCACGTGTGGTATTTAGGGCTTTGTTGCAGCCATAGTTTCTGATGCAACATGTGTCCCCCTAGAAGTGTGCTGCTGTAGTGTCCCAGCCCTGCTCCTGCAGCAGTCCTGCCATGCAGCTGGGATGGAGCAGGTTGCTGTGGCTGCAGTCACCGAGCAGCCTTCCTGCTGCCCACCCCTCTTCTGGGGTCTGAGTTCTCTGGTGCCTTCTGCAAAAGTTCATGTGCATGCTTGCTCCCTAACCCAGATTATATGAATTAGCCTTCTAGAGGATTTTTGGTTGATAAACTTTTTTGAGTTCCCATCATTTCAGGGGGCAATCACATTGTTGACCTCTGGAGCCAATAATCCCTTAACCAAGGCTCAGCTGCAACCATAGTAGCAGTTTGGGCTTCCATCTGTAGTGAAATAGGATAGTTTGTTGGCTACTGAGTGGAAAAGAGCTAGTGCTACTGTCATTTCTATTTATCAGAGCCTGCAGGAGACTACATTTTACATATGGGGAGAGATTAGTCCAGGCAAAACTTTTGTTGTTTATTCCCTGATACCACAGGTGCCCTTATAACTTGTCCCAAGGAGTCATTACACAGGCATCATGAATATGATGTACAGAGGTTTTGTCCCTCCCAATGAATACCTCAGGGGAAAATTTGGTCTAAAATTTCTGCACTAACCTCAATAAAATATTAATCCAACCATCACATTGTACATCTGGATGGAGTAGTTAAAAAAGCAGCGTGTTGATTGCAGCTGCTCTAGTAACTTCCTCCAGCTGAGTTCCAGGGTGTCTGCACAACAGCAAACACAAACATGTTTTATCTGACAGGACAACAGCTTTGAGCAATTCATTATTAACTACTGTAATGAGAAGCTGCAGCAGATCTTCATTGAACTTACCCTCAAAGAAGAGCAGGAAGAATACATCCGAGAGGTAATACTTGAATGGATCTTTCCTTATCTTCTCCTCTTCCTGTCGTCCCTGTAGAGATACACAGGCGTGCATGCTGGAATCTCTTTCCAGGGAAAAGAGCCACTTTTTGACCAGAGGCCTGGCATGGAGCATGTTTGTGTAGGACTTGGTGGTAGTTACATTAATCAAAAAAAGTTGAGTTTGGTTTTGTTCCACATTATGAATTCTCCATGTGAAAAACAGACCCCACTCTCATTCATTAGCATCAATGACTGACACTTCTGAGCATGAACTAATTAATTTATTAGAAGACTAATATCACTTTCTGGTATTAATGCCATTACCCTACAGCCTGTGTCTGTGATACACCCCAACAGTAACCACAGCTAATCCTGTTTCAAAAGGGAAGTGAGTGGGTGAAACAAAAGCATGCAAAATGAAAGAGACTACAAATAGATTTTTTGGTTCCAGTTTTCTTTTCAGTCCAATATTGAAGGGAGCTGTGTGAGCTTTATAGGTAAATTTAAGACGTGCTTTGGAGCCAGACCCTGATGTTTGATGATACTCTGCGTATGAACATCAAGTTAAAGTTTTGATAGGTTTTAGCAGTGCTCCCCATGGTACACATTGCTCACACAAAATACAGCTCACAGCTGTAGAAACTGCCATACACTGTCTGTGCTCAAATTGGATGATATCATCTGGCTGTATAAACTTTTTTGTGAATTTTGAATGTTCCTGCCTCATAATCCTGAGGATAATAGGAAGTTTGGGCACGTCTTTCTTATTTTTGCATTCAGTGGTGAAACTCTTGAAACATCATTACTGCAATTTGGTTCTTGAAGGATATTTCAGAGGTTCCGAATGAACTGTAAGCAGAATGCAAATTAAGAATGAAATTAATACTTGCTTTTTCCAGTCCTTTGCCCTGCCAGTGCTACCTCCTGATGCGTTGTCATCTCATCCTCAAAATTTTATCACTGATAATTGAAAAAAATAGGGTATTTGGAATATCTGAACAACACCCAGATTCTGGATTTTTCATATGGCCTCATCTAAATTTAGCCCTCTTTCTTCCTCCCATTAAAAAAACCCAAAAAACAAGCAAACAAACAAACAAAAAATCCCCACAAAACCAAAGCCCAACAACTAAGAACTTAGAAATTTTGATCTTGGCTGCTTGCAATGGGCTTATTTCCTTGTGAGCAGTGGGTGCTGGGGTGGGTGGTGGCGAGAGGAGCTGGCAGGGGGCCAGGGGAGTGCATGGGAAGCTGACACGGGCTGGGGAAAGGAATGGAGAGAGGGTTTGGCAGCCACTCAAGGACAGTCATTTTGCACAGATAACATTAGGAGTAGATGATTGCATTTCTTTATTAATAAATAAAAAATGGGTAAGCATATACAATTAAATGTGAAAGTTGTATCTTAGTTAACTGGAATATAAATTAATTGCCTAGAGGAAGAGCTCCCTTGATTGTTTTGCTGTTCATACATTTATTATTTTTTATTTATAGGGGATTGAGTGGACTCATATTGAGTATTTCAACAATGCCATAATTTGTGACCTAATAGAAAATGTAAGTCCTATTCCAGAACCTCTCTGAATAATTTTTTATGCATGGATTGAATTTAGCTCTAAATTCTGTAGGCATCCTTATGTTCTTTGATTTTATAAAACAAGCCACTCATATTAGTTATCTTAATTTGGATAATAGAATTTTATTTTAGTAAAAAAAAGTGTTTTTATAAGGCTGTATGTTATTTTGTTAGAAACGTTCAGCAGCACCTACAGAAAAAAACCCCAGACAGCTCTTAAATGTTTACATTTTGTGCTGTTTTTGATAGATATCACATGCTGCCTTGTAAGTAACATTCCTTTTTACATGGAAACTAGAAAACTCAATGACTTGTTACTAAGTAGGTACAGAAAGTACTTATATCTAATGAAAGGACTTCCTATGGACTTAGCACAGCAAGAAAGAGAAAATTCGTTAACAATCAGAAAATACAAGGTTTTAACTAATGTCAAATGTATGCTGGTTTTACCCATAAACTGGCTACTTAAGTTGGAGTTTCTACAGGCTGAGTAAATAACACAAAATTCCAACATGAAGTTCAAGATTCAGATATCAGCAACAGTCTTCAAAAAATGCAGATATTAAAAATCTCTTAGAAATGGGGATGAGAAGAGCCAAACTTTTGGGTAGCTTGAAGAACATCTTCCTGTGTAGCAGAAGTCAAACAAGAGAAAGCAGCGTCCTTTTTATGCCTTGATGGAAATGTGGTGGAAACAAGCACTAAAACACTTGTCTTGACACTTCAGAACCAAACTGGAATCCTGGCCATGCTAGATGAAGAATGCCTGAGACCAGGAACGGTTACTGATGACACGTTTTTGGAAAAACTGAACCAAGTCTGTGCCACTCACCAGCATTTTGAGAGCAGGATGAGCAAGTGCTCTCGATTCCTCAACGACACTTCCTTGCCTCACAGCTGCTTCAGGATTCAGCATTATGCTGGCAAGGTACCTGGTGAAGTGGGTTGTACATGGTGTGTGGAGAGTGTTGGACCTGTGTGAAGTCTTGGTTTGGGACAATGGGGAGGCTCTTTGTCCATTAAATGACGTTACGATAATGGAGGAGAATTGCTTGAGTCAATAGTTGATCAGAAGTATCCAGGCCTGTCTTAATATTTTCCATCTTCTCCCTAAGGTCTGTGATTTGGGCTGCAAGGCTTTCAGAGATCATGCTGCCCTAGCTGAAATGAAATCAAGGGCAGTTCTTTCATCAAAGGAGAAAGATGTCCCATGTGCTTTTGTGGTGAACTCCTTGTGCTGCTAGGTCTCTGAAAATAAAACCTTTAGAATGACAAAAATCCGCGCACATTTGAAGGCAAGATATTTTGGAAAACAATCTGTCACTGAACTAGCTGAAGTCCTTAGTCATGCTGATGAGAAAGTGGAGTTTTTCTGCATTTGAAGGAGCTGAGTTTATTTTCACAGTCTGTGTGTTTAAACAGAAAAGAAAACTATACAGAGGGCTTGCAAATGTATTTGCTTTTTATAACGTAACTATGAATAAATACAAGTCTGATAATCTTTGATGTATAATTCAGTATGACATTTTATTAATGAAAAGAAAAAGAACTATTTTTCTAAAAAGACCATTTATTTAAAAAAAATTCAAAGTAACCATAGGGATTGAAATTATACCTCTTGTTTGATTCTGCTGAAGAGCTAATTTCACAGAGTAAAGAATATTTACAAAGTCTTTTATTTTCCTAGGAATGTTTAATACTTTCCTAGTTTTTAACTTTTTCTCAGTTTTACAATTTTGAATAGCTCAATAACTTGCTCATTCAAAGTAGTCCTGGAGATAACATATTTTCAGCCTTTGAGGCAACCATTCATTAACTTCATGCTATGTATTTGCTAAAAAGTTTTTGTAATTGCATATAATCTATCAGGGAATAATAGTTAGATTTTTTTGTTGTTATTGTCAGAATTCAAAGTGATATGAAAATACTTCAGGACTTTGAGAAGAATTGTGAAGAGACTGTGTCTTAGCAGGCAGTGAGGGTCTTCAATTGTTACTGGCGCTCACCCAGCAGAGCAGTCAGTGAATTCCTCCTGTTTTGGGAAGAATGTTGTTTTTCCATCCTCAACTGAGAATGTTTTGATCTAGTCACTGGACAACAGAAGTTTGACTGGCAAATATAAACAAGTTCATATGAAAAGTTGGGGTGTTTTTAGTAGTGGCATTTCCTACACCTGTCAGAAACAGAAACATGAACTCTAAAGAAAAATGTTGCCCAAGTTCCCAGTCACTTGCTGTTGTGTAAAATATGGCTATGTCAGTATTAGTTTTATTCAATATTCTGTGTACATAGCACATAACTACACAGAACTGAGAAATAATGAAGCTGAAGAATCTGTATCACCAACCAGATGACTTGTCACAATTAATCAAACTGAATTCCCTACCCTCAAAAATTAAAAAGCCAGTAGCGATTGGAGTTCTACATGAAGTTCCCCTGGATGCCTCCTGGGTCTCCAGCTGCAGATCAGAGCTTTGCATTCATGCTTGTTATTGTTGGACTGTTTTCCTGGTAAAAGTCCTTTAAAATAACAGTCCCCTAAGGACTGCAAAGATAGCTACTTGCTGCTGCGATATCAAGAGGTGGTATTTCATATCTTGTTTTAGTTAGGCAAATAATGTAAGCAGTAGTACTTTGAAGGGAAAGGGTATTTTTGCTGTGTTGATTCAGAAGAGAGGGAGAAAACCTTTTGTCAGTCAAATAAAGATCGTTTTGTAGTATTGGCAAATGGAGGTGTATCAGAGTCATCACAGAAGAAGGTTTTTTTTCCATTTCAGAAACCAGAATTGATCAGCACAAGGAACTGTTAGCAGTGTGAGAAAATGCATCTTTCTCTGGTTTACAGAAACTTTACCCAAGAAAGTCTTCCAAATGTCAAATTTAAAATGAAAGATGTCTTTAATTTGTTTTGGATAGTGAGAAAGAAGGAGAAATCAGTTTGGTTTTGGTCAGTTTTGAGCTGGCCTTTGTTATAGTTCAAAGCATGCTTTAATGAGACTCTTCTGTATCGTTCAGGTTATGTACCAGGTGGAAGGATTTGTTGACAAAAATAATGATCTTCTGTACCGTGACCTCTCCCAGGCCATGTGGAAGGCCAATCACTCTCTTATCAAAGCCTTGTTCCCAGAAGGTAACCCTGCTAAGCTCAATCTCAAGAGACCACCAACGGCAGGTTCACAGTTCAAGGCTTCGGTTGCTACCTTGATGAAAAATCTTCAGACAAAAAATCCAAACTATATCAGGTAAATTACCCTGTGGCAAATCTTCAGTGAATTTGTTTGATGCAGTTAAAAAAAAAAAAAAAACAACATAAAAATCTTAATATCCAAGGATAAGCTGTTGAAATCTATGGTTTAAACTGACAGTAATAGTTGTTCATACAGTGCTGCACAGAAGTGTCCCGGTTTGTTTCCCTTCCCAGATGCATCAAACCAAATGACAAAAAGGCTGCACACATTTTCAACGAGGCCCTGGTGTGCCACCAGGTCCGTTACCTTGGTCTGCTGGAGAACGTCCGGGTCAGAAGAGCAGGTTATGCCTTCAGGCAGGCGTACGAGCCTTGCCTGGAAAGGTACAAAATGCTCTGCAAGCAGACGTGGCCCCACTGGAGAGGCCCAGCCAGGTAGGAACACAGCAGTATTTTCACCTGTCCTGTTCCAGTCATTGGAATTAGTCTTCCACATGATCTGTGTCTTTTTTTTTTTTTTTTTCCCCCTCCATTTAATGAACTTTCAGGTATTTTAAGTCAATTAAAAAGTAGGCCAGTGTGGCTCAAGTGTTTTACTTGTATGTTGTCCCTTAGCTTCTTGTTCCAGATTTTAGATGAGTTCGTTCACTAGGAAATTTATACTTTTCAGTAGGCTAAAAATCACAGTTCTCTGGCAAAGCAGATCATTTTAGTGTTGAACTGATCTACTAACGGAAAAGATTTTGCATGTGAGCAAGCAGAACACGTTGTTTTTAGAATATATTGCAGCCTTGACTGTTTTGGGCCTGAAAGAAAGGGTGAGAGAGCGAGATACTCGAGGGGAATCAAAATGACTAGGAGGTCTGGAATGATAAGAAGGGCACTTATCTTTAATAACTAACTTTCAAAGTGTAGGAACACCCATTTCTTTAAAGATGGTCATGCAATCTTCATCTGTGCTTTCAAGAATAATTTTACATAATGATTGGTGACCAACTATGAGATAATACCTCTTGCAAATCTATTGCATTAAATATACAACATAAAATTGCATAATATTCCCATGTATTTTTGCAGATAACATGTTGGGTAGGCAAATGAGCTTCTCTTAATTCTTTTTACATGTGGCCACCAATAGCATGATTTAAATTTCTTTCATAATAGAATAATATCTTTAGCTGCAGTTTAAATCTTTAGGTTATCAAGATAATGGTGGAAATGCAGTATTGATAACAATAGGATTGTTACAGTCATCACAAAGATATATGCAATTCCTCTCCTTTTTCTTGACATCTACAAAATGCAGTTGATAGTGTGGAACATTGGCATTTGTCAAACTCGTCAGTCTTTGTTTCACATTTTGACATTAATGTGAGAACTCTTCCTTTTTCCTTTTTTTTTTTTTATAAAGTAACATCATTATAGCTGTAAGAGGAAAAAATAGGCCGTTGCTGATGCTGTTAAATAAAAAATTGCTTTTTCCAACAAATTATTCTGAATCTGTACAGTGATTATTCTTGCCTTTAGCTAAATAACCAGTGAGTAAATGAGTTAGGTTGTCAATCTTATGTCAAGCACTATTTAACAATTCGAAGTATGCTTTCATATACTTTCCATAAATTAATCTGTGAATACGGAAACTGAGAAGTTTTAGAGCTGGAGGTCATGTTTGTTGAGCTCATTTACTTCTTATTAGGGCTGGAGTAGAGGTACTGTTTAACGAATTGGAAATCCCTGAAGAAGAATTTTCATTTGGTAGATCAAAGATATTCATCCGCAACCCAAGAACGGTAAGTGAAATATATCTGCTGCAAAATCAAGCCATCTTCTGTAAGGACAGCCTGTTACAAACTGCAGAATTCACTAGCTGGTTACCACAGGCCTTTTTAGATACAGTGCTTTGATATATTGCTCTGGAATACAACATTAGCAAAGGCACTTTTAAATGTTAGACCCATTAAAATTGGTGTGAATCAAGATTCTACAATAGCTGTCAGCCTGAATTGAATGTAACTTTGGTGCACTGACTTGAGTCAGTCCATCTGCCACGCTTTGGAGATGAACAAACCAAAATCACACCAAAGTGGGATTTGAATAAAAGAGAACAGACCAAAACCCCACTAAAGTGGGATCTGAATATAAAAGATTTCTCTTACAATAGCTGTGCTTATGTTAATTTTTTTTTTTTTTTGGTCTCTTCTCCCCTGCTGTTTTTCTTCCAATGTCAAACAAAACCCTAAAAAAACCATACCCAGCTCTTCAAACTAGAAGATCTGAGGAAGCAACGGTTGGAGGACTTGGCTACTCTAATTGAGAAGATTTATAGGGGTTGGAAGTGCCGCACACGCTTCTTGTTAATGAAAAAAAGCCAGATTGTGATTGCTTCCTGGTACAGGAGATATGCAGTAAGATACTATCCTTACTAAATGGGGGGATCTTTTAATTGTTTAATACATTTTGTTTTTAATATTAATTATTTAATACATTTTTTCCTTGACATAATATGTCATATAGTCATCATATGATATGTTTTTTCCTTGATCTGTATAGGGAAGTTTTGAAAGAATTCAATTTTATATTACCATTTAAGAACCAATAATGTAAATAAAGAAAATTTCATTTCTGTAGACCACTACTAATTGTTTACATGTGCTTGTGCTTAAATAATTAAAAAGTTCAGAGTCTTTTAGCTCTGGGAGAGCAGGATTTTGTGGCCCAGCTGGGAAGAGTCTTTCATTCAGCTAAAGTGCTGTCCCATCTGGCACTCACAGTGCTTTCAAAACATATGTTTAATGGGTAAAAAATGTTCAGTAATATACATGTGCAATTCTGTGGAATTCAATCATTCCTAAGGCTTTTTGTATTTTTGCCTTATTTGGAACCTTTGCATCTGAGGCTCAAGAATGCCGCTTGGGTGGATCCCAGGGATTTATTTTAATTATAGCTCATAAGACTCATAGTTCAGTATTGTTATTAATACAGTTCTAAAGCAGTTTCAGATCTGTTTGTAGACTGGGTGTTCTGTGTCATGAACTGAACAGTGCTGTTATATGTCTCTTTCATGTCTTTTTGTCAGTTAGTAAATAACATTGACTTATACGATAAAAAAAAAAGATTTATTTGCTTTCAGTTTGAAAACAATTCTTAAATATCTCAGCTGCATTTTGTAATTGTGTGCATATCAGAAAGCTCGATTAAATCTATGACATGGAAAGAAAGCAGGATGAAGTTGTGGCAAGACCCTCAGAATTACTTATGAGTGATGACAGAGATATTTCCTCAGCTTCTTCATGTAGATGGAGGGCACCATTCTCCTGACCCAACATGATTGCGAGGCACTGTGTTTTGGAGGGTTTCACAAAGATTTTAATGCATGAAAAAAGCTTTTTTTGACAATAACTTGTGCTGGAGGCTTGGCTAAAGGATCTGCAGACAGTTGCCTGTCTGTTCCCTTGTAAGGCATGATGGACATCAGTCATGGCATGAATGTGGCCTAGAGGGGATTCTCTCTAGCTTGCTCACAGAGATGTTCACTGTAACTGAGTGGGCTGAGGGTGAAGTCTAAAAGCCTTCTTGCAAAATCTGTCAGCTGTTGTTCACTTAATATCCTAACCATTGGTCTGCTAGATAACTGAGCTCTTTAGAAGGAAAGTGCTTGGCTGTCCAGGAAATTTATTGTTCAGACTGGCATACTTGGATAATATTCCAGCATGTCATTCAGGAATCCATGGGTTTTCTTTTTTCTAGTCCCAAGTTATCATCAGCAATTTGGTATTTTAAAGGGACTGTGGGTAATAGGAACAGCACAAGTCTTATGAAAAGATGGTAAAAAGCTTAGCCAACAAACCTGAGCATTTGTGGTGGTTTGTTGATGGGAAAGACAAATAAAGCTGTTACTGTTAGTATTTAATCCATGTCACTTTGGTGCTGCTGACCATGAACTTAGTGTTTCTGTAAACAGAGGCTGGCATTGTCCATGCAGCATTGTTGATGTGCTTTGTTTCCCCTCGAGTCGAACGCAGAATCTGCACTCTGATCTGTCTGGTCAAAAATTGTTCACTTTTTACAGTGAGTGCTTGAAACCTTAGTCGTATTTTCAATGTTAGTAATTGTATAATTCAAAAAAAACCCATATTATACAGTATTTTACAATTGCAATATTCTGTTCTAAGCGTCACATTTATTTCCAATACAGCAACAAAAAAAGTATCAGAAGATAAAGAGTTCAGCTATTATAATCCAGTCTTACATCAGAGGATGGAAGGTGAGTTTCTTCCTACTACAACTCTGTGTACATGATGAAGTGAAGAGCAAGTTGGAAAACTTGCTCTAAGTATCCTCAGTTTCCTGACTTTCACACCTTCTGTCCATTGAGCTGTGGCTGTGTTTTAGCTGTTGTTAAACACTCAGGCTTGCCATAGCAGAGGTGAGTTTGGGATGTCTGTATGCAGCCTGGGCTGTAAATCCTGGCAAATGGTGCAGTTGGAAGGCTGGGACCACACAGAAATACTGGGTTATCCTTGGAGAGTGTTCTGTTGGAGAATTTGGAGAGAGGTGCCATCTTCACATGAGCTGGCATCTGAATGAGAGACTTTGGTGCTCAGAGCAGACCTAGACACGTGCTAACGAGGCAGCCTTGACAGCTCTAGAGCATGACAGTCCAGGACCCTTCCACTGGGCTTGTGAAATCTGTTGTTAGACTGATTTGGAAGAAGTAAGTTGTGGTTGGTGGTTATTCTGTGGTCAACAGGATTCTCAAAGAATGAAAAAAATTAAAAGCAAGTTTCAAATAAAAAGTTTGGGTCACCTGGTCAGTATGTTGCTTGGGTTAAGTCTTCATGTATGCTAAACAGAGGGGTGAATGAAAGTGTACCCTACTCAACTTGTGTTGAGCAAGTACTTTATTGCTGTTTGCTTGGCCTTTGCCTGAGTGTGCTACAACTCTCCTTCTTCTCTGAGTGGTTTGTACTTTGTGGAGGGATAATCTTGCAGCCATGGTAGAGACTTAAGGCTTGATGATGCAATGAGAGGTAAAAATGAGGTTAACAGCTCACAAAAAAAAGCATTTAAAGTAAATACTGCTGTCCAGCTTCAGAAAAAAATGTCCCTGGGCTGCTCTGTTTTCTTATTAATTTTTCTCCACCCTACTAATAAATATGGCTTTCCCTTCTATTTAAGGAAGAGAGAACTGCTTTTAATTTTGGAGTCAGTTCCATTCCTGCCAGAGAGCAAAGGTAGGGGCTGCAGTTACTAGCTACAGGTGGAAACAGCCCTCTCCTGCCCAGAATATTTTAAACTTTGCCAGCATCATTTGATTCTACTATTTTTCTTGATTTTTTTACTTTGTTTTCATTATTTTAAATGAGTTTAAAATATCCTTTGAGTCTAACTACTGATGTGCTGTCTTTTCCCATGAGCAGTATTTGAAGAAAACTGTGTTAAAAACATAATCTCATCTCAAGTTATGGTTTTCTGTCAGTGGAGAAACATACTCTTTTGCAGTAGCAGTGCCATGGGTAAAACCCTTGTATGATTGCAGCCTTTAGTGTGACCTAAAGCCAGACAATTTACTTGTGATTTACACTTTATTGCAGTCTAAATGGGTAAGACGTATCCTGTGGAGGAAAAGTGTTGTTGCCACTGTACAGACAGACATATAGATATCTCAGGTGGTGCAGCAAATCTGGGAGAAAACTAAACACTGAATTAAGATCCCCTGAATTGCCTGTTCCACGCTCTCACTTGTGCACAGAATCCTCCACGGAACAGCAATGTAGCATCTGTGAATTGATTTGCTTTGGTATTTGGAGGCATTGGTTTTTGGTTTTACCTAAATTTACAGGATGCAGTGCTTTAGTTTAAAATACTTAGGAAATTATAGGTTTGGGTTTTTTTAAAATAAATAATGTTTTCAATTGTTTACAGGCTCGGAAACTTCTTCGGGAACTTAAGCATCAGAAGCGCTGTAATGAGGCTGCCACGATAATTGCTGCTTATTGGCATGGTACCCAGGTAAGAGAACAGCAACAAATGCTGCACTTCATTGTCCCTACAACAAATGAAGGCAGCCCTTCAGGATAAAGCTATCTGGGAGTATTTTCAGTGGCTTAAACTGCTGATTTTCCTGTTTGTTTGTTTCTCTTTGCCGCTAACATGTTTTAGCTGGTGCAGCCTGGGAAGCTGGGATGCAATTTTAATATTTGCTGGTTTTAGTGACTGGTTTCTTTCTTTCTTTCTTGCACCACTGGGAACTTGCAATAACCTTTTCTTTCCTAAGCTTTTCTATATCCCCTTTTCAAATGCATCACAGGCACGAAGGGAACTGAGACGACTGAAGGAGGAGGCTAGAAATAAACATGCTATTGCTGTTATTTGGGCTTACTGGCTTGGATATAAGGTACTTCACATGTACATATCACATGCCTCCCTTCATTAGTAGTAAATAGTGAGACTTAATGACTAATACATTTGATTTTAATAGAGCATGATCATCGATTCCCTCCATTTCCATTCATGCCACACTTAAATCTGACAAAATTCTGTATGTCAGGTTTTTGTAGAGTAGGAATTTCTTTGCATGGCTACCAAGTAGTGATTTGCACTAACAAGCCATTAGACTAGATTGAGAATGACTGGGCTACAGCACTCTCAAATTAGGAAATGCACTTAATTACATGTAAATATGCAAAGCATGGTTTGCAGGGGGAGAGAAGGCTGGGGTTTTTTTTGGTGTGTTTTTTTTCCCCATCCCCTAACAAGTGCTTTCAGTGACACTCCATTAATGATCCAATTGAGATTTTCACCAGGCTGTCTATTCTGCACCCTAGATAGTCTCCATTTACAAATTCAAGCCAAAGATACTAAGTTTTACTAAATTTCAGTTTTAATTGGTTTAATTGATTCTCTGGCTGTGATCTGAACCAGTAAGAAAATTTCATTAAGTACAAGTAAAGTGTGGCTTTATGGCCTGATCTTTTAGCAAAAAATGATGTTAGTTTGCAATTCTAAACTTACAGCCCTAGAAAAATCTCAGGAATTCCAGCATCAGCTGTTTGTTTTCAGAGGCAAAGTCCCACTGAAAGATTCTTGCTAATCCCCAGCCTGTAGTTGTGGGTTATGTGAACATTTGAAATGCTGTTCACTAGAGGCCAAAAATTTATTGGTTTCAATTAATAAATTTATAATTTAGTCAAAAACCATATTCAGTAAATACATTGTTTTTAACACTTTCCAGTTATTGAGGTTGGAGGGGTGGTGCTGGGAGTGTTGGCAGGACACCTTGCCAACTAGATGGAGAAATGTGCTCAAATTACATCTGGAGTATAATACTGAGTTTTACCTTTGCTATTTTGATAAAAATCTATTAGATTTCTAATGAAAGGGCAGCCCTGAGAATCCAAAAAAACATGCACAGAATTTCTCTCATACTAGAGAGACTTTGGAACTTTTTAGTCCTGTCCTGATATTTAGGTAGCTATGAAACTTGACAGATGCACTGTTTCCTCTCTGTTGGTTTAAATGCAATACATTGATAATTTGTTTTATTTTTTAAGCAAAGTTCCTTTCACCAAAAGTATTGCTCAGTACTGCAGTAGTGATATTTAGTTTCCAGGTTTAAGATGTCCATTAGAATTAAAAAGGACAGATCCAGAAAGTAGATGCAATACTGCTAACTGTGTTAGACCTCCTCATTTAAATATTTCGTAGATTTGGATACTTTTAAGCATGTTTTAGCAATTATTTTTATCAGTTGGCTCACAGGAATTTAATGAAAAATGGCCCCCTTATTCTTTAAATAGAAATTATCTAAAAATATATATAATGATAATCTAAATTGAATTACGATTAGAAAATAATTTCAGTGTAGGAGATAAAAATTGTTAACTGATTTGATCTTTTATCATTTCCCAGGGGAATATTTAAAACAAAAGTTTCTGAAAGTTATCATCAGAGATCACTTGCTTTACAAAACAAAGTATTAAATTTCCTTCCTTTTCACAAGATAAATTCTTAGCCTTCCAGAGTCCCTGTTTTTACAGTGCTGTATAGTAGGAGGTTTTGTTGCAAGCAGAGTGAAAACATATTCTTTGAGAGCACACATCTAACCCAAATTAACCTTTCTAGCTACATCAGAAAAGTGTCACTGGCCCAGGCTGGAACTGCTGCTGCACAAGTCTGACAACATACAACCTGACATTGTGGATACACGGCTATAGCTGCCGTGCCTGACCCTATCATACTGGAACTCTTCATTTTACATTTACTTTTATCATCAGATAACTGGATAACAAATGTACTGGCATCTCCTGAAATGTGAGAGTCTCTTAAGTTGCCCACACATGCCTTTGTGTTTAGACTACTTTGCAAATTGTTTTCCCAAACTGGGAATAATTGATGAAACGTGGGTAGGTGCCTATCTCTTTTTACATGAGGAAGGCACTAGGTTTGGAGGATTCACCCAGTCATTCCATAAAGACAGGTATCTTTTACCAGGCTGGAGAAAATTATTTTTTTTAAATACATAAAGATCAAAATGAAAAATAACCTCCAGAATAAAAGCCTTCAATACAGTGCTGGTAATTTATCATTGCATACATAGTTTCAGAGTTGATCCTGTTTGGCCCAGGCACTTGCCAGTGGAAGAAGTGACTAGTTAGATCTTAGTGAGTCTTGATTTTCATACACCTCATTTTGATCATGCAACTGCAGGCCAAGTTCTCCATTAGAGTCAACTTATGAGATACCACTGCTTGCAAGATGTGCATGGTAGAGAAGATAGAAACACTGATAGCAAATAACTCTTACCTGTGCGTGCCACTTAGGCAGCAGCGGAGTCTTTTTTGACTTCCTATGTGGCTTCACACCAATTCACACCGACATGTTGGGTTTTAAAAGGTTAAATGCTGTTCTTCCATCTTTTCTTGATTGTAAGTTGGCTGTTCTGTTTGGGAGGAGCCTTTTCCTGGTCGTTGTGCTATCTGCATCGGGCTGTCTCTTTTGTTCACTATCTAAACCTTTTAGGCTCGAAGGGAATTGAAACGCTTGAAGGAGGAGGCTAGGCGTAAGCATGCTGTTGCAGTCATTTGGGCTTACTGGCTTGGACTGAAGGTACTTTCTCAAACCCTGGTGTAAAGCTAATGATAATGTCCTATTGCTTCCATCGAGCCTTTTTAGGGCATGGCATTGCATGCAGTTACCTATGAATTCCCAGAAAAATTGAGATTATACAAGAATCTTCTGTTTTCTGTCCCTTGCCTCCAAGGACTGGTTGGCAAAAGGAAACACATTCATAGTTCTGCTCTGCAAATAGACTATGAAAATGGTATCTTGAGATGTTCAGGTCTGTGTCCAAATGATTTACATAGCACAGTTCTCAAACGTAGTTTTAGAGAAGCAGCCCTGAAGAATGGCAGAAACCTGACTCAGTTTTGTTTGGCTGGCAATTCGCTTTTGCCAATAGGAATGTTGTAGACTACAGAAGTATAAAAGTATAAAAGAATTTGCTTGATAACACAGAGTAAAGCCAAGCTTCCATGTCCTCATCCTTACAATGATAAAATGAGAAAAATAGTTACAAAACATATAATTATATATAATTTGTGTATATTACGTATTTTAAAAATCCATAAAAATACATCTGTAGAAACCAGAGCTGGAAATACAAAGGAGCCATTTTAAGAAGTCCTTCTGCAGATCAGAATCACACCTTAGGTATTACTGCCAAAGTAGGTCTGGTTTTATGATTGTAAAACAAGAATATATGTCCCTCCTGAGAACTCGGGCTGCTTTATATCAAACAGCAGCATTTAAATGAAAACTGATGAATCCAAAACCTTTAAGGCACATTACTGCAGGAGTATGTTTCTGCCTGTCTGTGGTGTGGTTTTTCAGTGTAAGGAACGCTTTGGTTTCACCTGAAACATGAAGATTTTTCTGCACAAGAACATAGCCTGTGATTGAAATATATCCCCATTACCACAGGCAATTCTCATTTGTCTGATGGCAAAGTATTTTCACCCATGACATATGGAGGTGAAGATTTAAAGTTGATGCAAGTGATCAAGATTAAAGCACTAATTCTTGAGGTTTTGGGTTTTTTTTAATTGTGCGATAAGTAGATTTTAATAGCATTTGTGGTGCTTTCCAGATTTAGGCTTTTCTGGACTGGCTTGCATTTCTCAGTGCTTGCTTTGCAGCTTCCCTGCAGCGTCAGTAGGATGTGTGGGTGTGTATTAGTCCCTTTGTTCCAAATTAATTTGCACACCTTGCAGCTCATGAAGAATAATATAAAGCAACATCATTAAAGAGAGTCTATGAGAACACGGTGAGATTTGGGATGATTGTGGTTGGAGAGGCTTTCAGTGTGTTAATTTCCATCCCTGAATAATAAATAAAGGATGTACACTAATTAAAGAGCTCTAAACCGTACAGAAAATCAGTGAATAAGTACTCTAATAATTTTTCTTTTAAAGTGAGGAGAAAAAAATTTTGTGCTGGGTTTGCCTAGAGTGATGAGAGCTGAATGCTGTCAGTTTTGTTGATGCATCTCAACGTGTAATGAAGCAAGCCCCATTTATGTGTGGGGTTTACTCAATCCCAGAATGGTGACAGATTCTTGCTTTCAAAATTCTGGCTTATTTTAAAATGCATGACACTCAGCATGGGGCAACAGGTGTGCCAGGGTAAGCCAAGTGAACTTTTCCTTCTGAGTTGATGTGGGTTTTTCCTTGTGGGTTTCCCTTTATTTTCTGGTTACGGTGAATTCAGCAACACATAGCTAAAACCACTAAATTTGCTCTGGGGTAAACTTTGCAAAGCCAAGATGTTTTTCCTGGTTTTTGCTCAAAACTTGTAACAGGTGTGTTGCGGGCTGTGCCAAAGCTTGAAAAAAGTTGGGGGGTATTTCAGCTAACTTGATGGGAGCCTGGGCTTCACATAAACTGCAAACCCGTCGTGCTCTCTCTCACCTTGCATTTTCTGAAGGGAGGAATTTAGATGCTACACTGATTAGCACCGATAGAAATATGAAGGGCAAAACAAGTACTCTGAAACTTGCATTTACAAGCATAGGTTAAACAATGAGTATCACCTGCAAAAATGGCTTTCAGTGATCACACTTTTTTTTTTGTGTTTTTAAAAAAAATTTAAAGAAAAATAAATTTTAGGAACAAATATGAAGCTTACTGACATTAAGCAACCTTTTTGCTGATTCTCTGCTCTTATGAAGCACCAAAACCTAATTTTTTCTTTTGGAATGAAGACTCTGTGGGAAAAGAGTTTTCATGTATAAGTCTGCTCTGGGGAAGAAAAAAATCCCTTTTTCATTACAGAAAACTATGTATTAAGAATCTTAAAAGAGAACAATCAGAAACAGTTCATTAGTTAACTATATAATTAACATCAGTGTCACTTCAGGCACAAAATCTCTATCAGTGATGATACTTGACTTTTTCTAGTCCAACTTCATGCAAAAGCCGATGAAAATAGATCCCTGCTGTGAATTCAACAATATGTTCATAGATTGCCTTTTCAGATAAAAGCATTTCAAAGTCTGTGTTAAGTGTACAAAGGACTGTACTCAGGTCAGCTGAGGTAACTTTCTGACCACTTGGTCCATGATATGGTTCATCTATTTTAAGTGTACCCACTTGGTGTTCCTATTTCAGGGAATACTTTGCATGTTCTTATGCCTTGTTACTATTTTCTGCCATAGAGCTTTATGAAAGAGTACCTGTGCAAACAAATTCATTCTTTGTATTCACTTGGAGGGTTTGTTTAACTTTACAGGTCCGTAGAGAGTACAGGAAATTCTTCAGAGCCAACGCTGGAAGAAAAATTTATGAATTTACCATTCAGAGACTTGTATGTATATATCCATAGAAAGCACATGTATATTTTCTGTGGGTTAATTATCTTTTCTTTTCTGGCAAAAGCAACAACTATATTATGGCCTTGATAACCTTTGTAAGGAAATGTCCATGCTAAGCATATGGAAAACTGACGAATTAAATATTCTGATGTTGGAAAGAAAGGACAGTCATAGTGTTTTGAAAGTGTGGGAATGGTATTAACTAAGCATTTGCCACACTTGTGTGATATTTAAATCTGCATTTCTCAATATACCTGGCTTTTTTAAACCCATATTCAGGTTTATGAAAGCTGAGAGTTGCAGTTTGGTAGCTGTGCTTTTAATCAGAGCATCTGCTTTTGGGTGGCTATTTCAATAACCGTGGTATTTGAACATTAATAAAACATCTTGCTTCAATTTTGTCACAGATGCAAAAATACTTCCTGGAAATGAAGAATAAGATGCCTTCTTTATCACCAATAGATAAAAACTGGCCAGCGAGACCTTACCTTTTCTTGGATTCGACTCACAAGGAACTAAAGAGGATTTTCCATTTGTGGAGGGTAGGACACGTTCTGGTCTAGTCTGTACAGAACTTCATCATAGGATTTTCAGCAGTTTTGCTCATGAAGAGCCTATTTTTAGGATGTATTTCTTCTTGTTCTAGCCAGGATGATTTTATTTATTTGGAAGAAGTATGGTTTTTTGATCATTGTCTTTGGCGTGCAAGGGGTATAACTATCCTGCTTCCTCCTTTCTGGGGCTAGGGAGAGAGGATTGCCTCCTGCCATCAGCTTTTAACTTAATAGTAAAGCAGTGTGCCTGTTGCCTTTTAATTGGTAGCTTATAATACTTGTGCCTATGGCCAGGACTGGGGCTAGCTCTTAGACCAACATTGGAAGTACTGGGTGGAATTTTTTACTTAGGAACTGTGGTTAGCTGAAATTTGTTTTGGATTGTTGGATGGAGAGAACAGCAAGAATCTGTGTAAGTGCTGATGAGATGTTTTACCAGTCTTGTGGGCTATGTTTTCTGTGAATTATCAAGGAGCAATTTTTCTTTCTGAGCCTGCAAAATTCATCCACTCAACCATGTTTTGTAATTTCTCTCTGCTTACATAAGCTTCCACAATCGTGGAACTATATATGTATTTCTGTGAATCCTTTTAGCACAGTTCTTCCAGTGACTGGTATCTGCTAGGTTAAGCTCACGTTCAAATGCAACATGCATAAATGAGATGGTTGAAATACTGATTTTGGCATAATTCAGAATTATCTAGAATGAGTGAAGAGAAAAACACCTCTGTTGTTTGTTACTGTGCTACAGTGGCACGTAGGATGGAGCTGAGTCACTTCAGAAGTATACAAAGAATGTCCATCTTGAGCAATAAGCAAACATTAGTCTGTGGTGCTGCTGCTTCGAATCAGATTTGGAAGGATAACTTTTTGGTTTGTTTAACATATTGTGTTTTTTAGTGTAAAAAGTACAGAGACCAGTTCACAGATCAGCAGAAGCTTATATATGAAGAAAAACTGGAAGCAAGTGAACTTTTCAAGGACAAGAAGGCTTTATATCCAGCCAGGTAGTGACTTAATCTGCTGCTTTTAGTGTACAATAAAATCAATGTTCTTACATAGGAAATGAAGCAAGACTTCACTTTTTGTCTTAAACAAGAAAGTGCATCTTCCTTGTTTGACAGTGTCCCTCCTTCATTTTACTTTACAATCCTGGAAACTGATCTTGGTTTGCTTCTCACTTAGCATTGTTGCAGCCCACCAAGCCTGAGATGCTGAGACACTGAGCTCTTCTGTCCAGAAGCCATGATGTTTTGTTGTTCTAACCCCTGTGACCTGTTCACATCGTAAAAGTTTGGAGAACTTGTAGAAGGGAATAACTCTCACCCTTTCCCCTAGTTTCCTTCACACTGGTTCCTGCAGCCAGCAAATGCAGAGTGAACTGAGAGACTGTAAATGACAATATCACTCCCAGATGAGGCATGCTAGGGAGCTCTCCTGTCTTCAAACTCAGTGCATTCAGCACAGTGCCCCACTGTGAAGACTATGGAATTGAAGAGTTAGATATATTGGTTTATATCTTTTTGAAATGATACTTAAAGAGGCCAAAGTTGCTTAGAAGTTCATTTCCCTTTTGGATTTATTTTTTTTTTTTAGTGTGAAATCTCTGCAGATAACTTTTTTTGGTTTCTTAAATTACTGAGTTCCTAAAAACTGATGAATTCTTGTCATTTTTATGAGCAGACCTAGCATTACTCCAGAAAGTGCAGTAGTACCTGACTTGACTTAAGGAACACACTTTTTTCTCTATGTAGTAAAACTGACAAAATAGAAATCTGATATCCTTGAAAAAAGTTGAATTGAACTTCTGAAGTGAATGTGAGCCTAGAAATTGTTATTTTTTTCTTGAAAACAAAGGTCTTGTCCATCTTGGGAGCTTTTTTGGTTGTTTTGAAGCCAGAGTTTGAGCTGAGCAGGAACAAGTCACTGTAAAGTGAGGAGTACAGTTCAGTACAGGAAGGATCAGGGTTCTGCAAGTGTTGACAAGAGCAGTTCCATGCATGAACAAGCTCTGCTTTTGGTTTGTGTCATTCTTTTATTGAGACATTTCCTTTTTTTCATGTAATGAGGGACTAAGTCCGCAGGGAATTTGCTGTTTTGGTGAATATGGTTTCATAATGCTAGTTAATAAAACCCAAAATCCTAAAGCACCAACACGGTAGAAAGTTAGAATGCTTTCCCCACCCTGCACTCATTTAGAAACATTTCCATCTCCTTTTGTCTTCAGACAAAAAGTATTTTGTATTCAGAGATGATCAGCTCCTGGTTTTTGTTAGGTTTTGGTTTTTTTTTTAATTGGCCTAAGGGTGGAGGAAATTACTGTGTAAAGTTTATGATTAGTTAGTATGATAATGATTCATTATTCATTAATTCTCTGGATATAATATAATTATTTAAGAACAGAGAGGGACTATTGTGCATACTAAAATATCAGTACCCTTCCTTTTCTCTCCCATCTCCCTGTGTGCCAGAGATGCAGTGACAAAGGTAGTGCTCTTCCATGTAACATATTGGTTCCTCCTGGGCTCTAGACTTGGCAAAGCTTTCCATTTAGGACTTTGACTATAATTAAATCAAAGTGATCCGTTAAAGTGACTTCCAAACAAAGCAAGCAGCAACTGTTTTCACCAGTTCTTAACTGATAGGGGAGCTTTTGCTGTGTAACCCCGAGGCTGATAGAGATGGGGTGATCAGCAAGCATAGCAAGCCCTGATGAAGACTTGGTGCACATGAACAGCAAATCTTGAAGGCACGTTCTCCCCTGTCACTCTGAAGTGCTGTGAAAGAGC